GCTTTGATCAAAGCTCCTGTAGTTTGAATTTATCTTGCAATTTCCAAATATTATCAGCCCACCAATGAATGGAGGAGAGGAGTAGAATAGCTTTCCCAGCTACATTTATTTAACAGGCTGAAGTGAGTGACCTAACTTGTTGAAAAACAGCTGTGACAAATGCTTTGTGTTTGGGTGAGAAGAAAAAAGGAGCCAGCTTCTGAGATTTTCCCTTGCATGGTGTCACTTTGTGAATGGTCGTGAGCAGAAGCGCGTGTCCTGTGGACCATCTTGACTGCTGCCATTCATATTGTCAATTTTCAGGCTGCCCTTGGCATCCATGGGACAGCATCCACTGCAGAAGGGTAGAAAGAGAGATAGAGTTGTGTGTCATCAGCATACTGATGACATGAAACTCTAAATCTCCATATGACCTCTCCCAGAGGCCTCATACAGATGTTAAACTGTAACAGGGAGATGATCGACCCCAAAGAGGTCCCATAGTTGAGAGTCTAAGGAGTAGAGACCTTCTCCCCCAGCTGCTGTCTCTGGGGTTGGTCCTCAAGGAAAGATCAAGGCCAGGCCATTGATCCCCAACCCTGACAGCCTTTCCAGGGGGATACCGTGGGTTGATGGTATTAAAGGCTGCTGAAAAATCAAAGAGAATCAACAAGGACATTTTTGCCCCTGTCCGCCTCCCTCAGAAGATAATCGTGCAGGGCAACTAAGTGCTGTCTCCGTGTTGTGATGCTGCCTGGACTGCAATGGGTTGAGGGCTTAAGTTTCATCCAAGAGGGCCTGAGACTGATCAGACTACCACCCTCCCCACTAGCTTGTTTCAAAAAGGAACATTGGCAACAGGTCTATAGTTGTTACACTCACATGTCTCCAAGTTCGGTTTTTTTCAAGGCGGGCCTGGTAAGTGTCCCCTGGAGGGCTCAAGGAACCTAACCTTCAAGGAGAAACATGTTGATAGTTGAAGTGACCTGTTTTGTTGTTGCCCTGGCAGCTTTTAAAAACCAGGCTGAGCAAGGAACTAGGGAGGTTGTGGTGGCCCTACAGCTATCAAGTACCTTGTCAACCTCTGATGATGAAACAGGCTGAAATAAATGAAAGAATTTTGAAAAAAAAAATACTATCTCTAGCCAGTTAGAAATCTGACCAGCTGAAGATTCTAAACAGTAAAGAAGTCCCATGTAGTGTGTTTCAGTAATCCAGGTGTGATGTGACTAAGACAGATATCACAGTAGCCACGTCTGCCATCTCCATCAATAGGACTAGATGGTATGATAGCTTTAACTGTGCAAATGAACATTCATGCCAAGGAACAGGCCATTGCCCACCTGGGCCATCTAACCCAGTAGCTGGTGGAAATGACACATTGGATTAGATTATCTGGTTCAGGCGGCTCCTTCATTTATTCACTAATGTGTTGTTAGGAAGCTTTTCATTAGCAAAATTCGGTAGCCTTTTAAATAAGTATAAAAATATTATAGTGAATGATTCATATGTTGCCAGTATGAGCAACTGGTCTGGCAAGCTTTAGACCCAGAAAGAATTGTTAAATGAATGACTAACTTGATGACCCTTCATGGCACCAACACTGCATACCACATTTGAATTGCTACTGTAGTAAAGTTAATTCGGTGTAAGTTCATTATGGCTCTGTCAACTGTTGGACCTACTATTTTGAGCCAGGAGTTAGTTCAGAAAGTTAATGAACAGCATATCATTAAGCAAGCGGTTGCATCTTCTCAGTTTATACCTATGAGAAATAGTTGATGCATGCATGACACTTGGAGCATTCAAGAGCTTCAGCCTGCTGTACTGTATTCTCACAGTATCAGCCAACAAACTCTCCTGGCATCATATTATGCCCAGCCCTTTTTGTGTAGGTGGCTATGAAAGTACTGAGATCTTTGTTTTCTACTCCCTTTTCTTCAGTTTACCATTAAACTACGGAGTTATGGTGGTCATCTCCAATAAGAATAAAGCAGATAGAAATGAGGGAAACTCTTAAACATATATGAATTTCTTAAAGTGAGAGTTTTTCTTATGGAAAAGAACTGGAGATAACAGACATGACAGTGAAAATGGTGTCAGATTTCCCAGTTGCCAGAAGCAGAATGTTCTGGAAACTGCTGGTTATTCACACCAGTGGCATGAAGAGTACAATCCCTAGAAGTGGAGTTAAAGATTCACCAGAGGTAAATCTAACTGGAATGTTGAAATAAAGAATTTGTCTATATGGTGACAATTTGTCTTTTATATAAAATGGAAAGTCAAAGTGGTGCAAAGAGAAATTGCAGTCAGGAAACGTGTATAATAAAATTTTCAAAGGCAGCTTAAATAGACTAGCATTTTTATCTACCTGAAGTTCTACTTTTCCCAGTGATGGCATGCCTTCCTCTCCCTTTCTTTTGAAACCTTTTGCTTCAAAGGTACAGAAAGTAATTGAAATATTGGTTGCAGTCCATCAATACAACTTCATTCACCCAACCAGGCAGCCATCGGCTCCTCCATAAAAATTCAGTCCTTATGCTCTCTGGTTTTCTACCTGAGCAGCTAATCAGTGTTTCATACTTACTGTCCTTCCTCTCCCTTTCTTTTGAAACCTTTTGCTTCAAAGGTTTTTTTTTTAACCTTTTCAGTGTTTTTAATCTTTGTGTTCCCCTGAGCCCAATGCCTTTTTTTGTGCAGATGCTGCTATACTGACTATGTAAGAATATGCAGTTGGAAAGTTGTGTTTCCTATTAGTACATAGAGGAAATATCAGCAGGATGGACTCTCCAGATTTAGAGGTACCCCAGGGATTCTGGGACCAATGAGAAGGATGGCCTTTAAATTCATATACCCTGTTCACCAGCTTTCAGACACATCTGGCTGATTGTTACTGATAGCCTTTTAGAAGGGATGGTTTATGCTCTGATCCAGCAAGGCTGTCCTTGCACATATGAGGACACAAAGATTGTTACTGATAGCCTTTGAGAAGGGATGGTTTATGCTCTGTTCCAGCAAAGCTGTCCTTGCACATATGAGGACACAAAGAGAGGGCAGCTCGTTTTGACGGCTCAGAAACCAAAAGTGGCCTACATGAGGAAGGTTTCTGCTTGACCTGCTTATGGAATGAACAAAGTGCCAACTTGGCCCATGAGACAAGTGGCAAGTATGTAAAGTATAGCCTTTGAGAAGGGATGGTTTATGCTCTGTTCCAGCAAAGCTGTCCTTGCACATATGAGGACACAAAGAGAGGGCAGCTCGTTTTGACGGCTCAGAAACCAAAAGTGGCCTACATGAGGAAGGTTTCTGCTTGACCTGCTTATGGAATGAACAAAGTGCCAACTTGGCCCATGAGACAAGTGGCAAGTATGTAAAGTAACACTTGGTTTCCTTAGTTGCCCCACCCTTGCTCTTCAGGTTGCAATGCCCTTGATGTGGTTTGGATAATATTGAAAGCAATACAGGCATTATAATTACTGGTGGATTATTTTAAGGAAGGAACAACAGTGACAGGTCAGTTGCTGTATTCATCTTTCCATTACATGGAGTGTGGTTGGTTCTAATAACGTTTCCAAAGGGAGAAAAAGGCAGTGAAGCAGCAACAGACAGGGACTGTGTCTTTCTCTGCAGTTCTCAGGACAATAAGTGCGCCTGATGCCCCGTTTTGAGCATGAGAACCTATGTTTGACTGGTGGCCAGTGCTAAAGTAGACTTTTCACTAGCAGCCTTGGAATCAGCGTCTCACCACCGTGTCATAATTCCAGGAATCTGCCATTCTTGAGTGGGTTGTTAACATCTTTCTTATTACACTGTATTTGTTTTGACTAGTGTTTTTTTGATTATGACTTTATCAGGTCTTGGTTTCTCATTTCATTGGTTTTTCATGCTATCTCTCTGCTTGTAACTTAATTGTTGTTAAATATTTTATTTGTAACCTACTGTGGGAATCTGGATTGAAAATGAAGCTACATAAATGTATGAAATCTGATTGCATATTAAGGACCTTTTTTCTTCTGCTGCACTAGTTTTTTCAACTTGTGCCCTGTTTCATTGGTATCATCGGCAGGATGCAGATAAAATGCTGCCTTTTTTCCGGCATTCTGAAAACCTATTCTACCATAATGTCGTAATTGTATAATTGAAACAATTATGGAAATAAATCCAAAATATATATTTTTAGAAGAAATGCTGCTTGCAAAACAAAATTACCTAGAATAAGATCAGTCTGTAATTAGATTATCTGCCTTTAACAATACTGTATATTTATGTGAGCACCACCCCGGTTACTGGTCCCTATTTCTCTGTTGCTTTCACAACATTGACTTCTATCATGTGTTTCAAAATAGGATCCATACAAGCCCCAATACTGTTTTCAAAGTAAGAAAGCGCAAATTAAGGAAACATGGGTAGCTTATGATTGTAGAATGTGGTGTAGAATCTGACTCCTCTGAAAGTTTTGTTGTGGGGAGACTGTGCTAGAGTATACATTTTAACCTTTGAACTGTTGCAAATTGAAAGGTACAACCAGGATGATTTAATATATGTTTTATTTGCTTAGGCAGACTTTTGCTGCTGGATAAAGATTGTCAGTGTTATTCTTTAACAGTTTGTACATGGCTACTCTTTATTTTTGTATTTTATATTTTTTAAAAATCTATGACACAGTATACAGCAATTCAGTAATGCCTTGCTATCAAGATCACTGCTATGTCAAAAGATTTACTTATTTTTAAAAAATGTATAGCCAATATCCTCTTAGGAGCAGGCAGGGTGTCATGTCCCACCCGTGGAACTTGCCAGAGCAAAAGTCCCATTTAAAGAACTGGGAATTCCCGCTCCAAAAATGCCCACCCATTCATGCAGTGAATCATTGTGTGGACAGTAGGAAAGAAGAAGATGCTATCCTAAAGAACTTAAATAAGAGATTTCTTTGTACGCTTGTGGAACAATGGAGGAAAACCTGTTGGAACCCATTCATGTAATGGCTACGACCTGATCAACCATTTCTCTTTCTCCCATAGCATATGCACAGGCATGGCCCGACCTGTTTTGCCTATTGATCTGCATTACAGCATGTTTATGCCCACCTTAAGGAACCAGTGCACTTTTGCCCAGCAAGAGAAATGGCTGCCTCTGGCCTCTCAGTTCCAGATAATCGGCACCTACGCTCAAACAGAAATGGGGCACGGTCAGTTCTTTTCAGAGACTTACGGGTGACCCTACGTGGGTTAATCTTGCCAGTGATCTTTAGAACAAAAATTCAAATTGTTTTTAAAAATAAATAAATAAATGCTGGAGCCAAATCAAAAATTCTCACCACTTATGACTGTCCTTACTGTATGTAATGCCAAATACTAAGCTGTGCTGTTCTGCATACATAAAGGCACCTCCTAGCTATTTGCTGGTTTTATTTCCTTGTTCTCAGATCTTACAACAGCCCAAATTTCTTAGAACTGTTCTTAGCACTGCTGGCCAGCATGAGCAGTTTGTTCAGTCAGCCTGGTTTTCTTTTGAATTTAGGAGATGGTCAAGGATATTGCAGAGGTATATTTACAAAGTCCTAGTTCAATACTACTTCAATCACATCTAGGCTAAAGGCAGCTTCACACTGGATTTAAATTTACTCTACAGACGCATACATGTAGTTGATACTTGGAGTGTGTTGCAAGCTAATAACATGAGTTAACCAAATGATGTGCTGCAGGGCAGTGATTGATGTATTGGAACAGAAAAAAAGCCTGGTGTGGCATATAGGCCATTATGTGATCTGTTTGTGAGGCACAGTGAACAATGAAGCAAACTTTGCGTAGGTTGGAAAGTGTACCTTAACATTATCTGCTACGCAACGGAACCAATCATGGTGCATTTTTCGCACAAAAGGAGTTAGCTCTAGAACAAGTTTTTGCAAGTCACTTATCTTGTTTTGATAGTCCTTTTGCCAAGGTCTTGCGACGCTAGTCTTTTCTTTTTGATTTGCTGTGTTACAGCTTGTAAAGTGCTGTCTCACAACATTTAGGATGTTGCCTGTATGTCGTCTGCTGCGTTTGGGAAGCAATTGATATAGCTAATATCCAATGCCAAGACATACTCGTTGCATTAAGTATCTTTTCATACACATGAACTAGAGGCACATGCCAAGCAGAAGATCAAGGATCTAAATGGCTTCTTCTCTCATCTACGTATTGCACCTAAAATCAAGAGATATCATAGCTTTTGTTCTTGAACACTATCACCCTCAGTTCTGATAAGATGTTAAATGAAGCTCAAGAATTTAAGATTGATACTTACGTCCAAGTATTTGAATTTTGTGCTGTACTGTAGAGAAGACATGGATTGTCCCTGGATGAAAAGCAAATGCCTCAGGTTTCTGATTCACCATCTCCAATCAAATTTGAAGAACGCTACATGTTATTCCTTAGGTTTTTTGATTAACTCATTGTTAACCATCTGAAGTCTTGCTTTGGTGAACATAAACGTCCCAATTTTAGTGGCTCACTTCACACCACCATTTAAATACTGTACAGTATAGTAATAGCATCTCACAAGCAAATTAGCGGAAGGGAACAACCTGTATCTTAGAAAATGGAGCACCCTATTGGTCAGCAAATTATTACTCTTGTTTGTCTGCACTGTCCCTTCAGACCTTGTACTGTATATGGTAGTGGTTTTTCTGCATGCTGTTTCTTGCTAACATATTTCTTTGCCTGTTATGTAATATTGGTTGCATTTTGCTAACTAACCAGAATATTAATGATAATCACTCTACATTTCTATGTGTGACAGGGCATTAGTGCCACTCACACTTTCCATTTCAGATTATTTCTTCAGAAACCTCTGCATAGTAGGATTCCTGAATATTGACTAACTCAGATTGCATTGTGCAAGAACAGAAGCTCAGCTTTTTTTTAAATAAAGCATTTCACTAGGGCTGGCTTGGCAGGGACCTGATTTGGGGGCAAAATTCATCAATGATAGATGTAAAGTAACTCTTCTAGTTATTTGGGACTTGTTCATAATCTTAAATACTTTCATTTTTTATTGGCTAAAATGCTAGATTACAGTGTGAATGTAACTCTCCACTCAAGACCTAAATGCTTGCCACAAAGATCATATCCAAACTGTGTGCATTTTGCTAATAGTCTGTGTTCCACTTTTTCTTTCATATTTACCACAATAAAGAGTCAGAGCTTAACTTTGATCTATAAATGTGAGATAAATAGTTGACCCCACGGTTGTATTGTGTTGTAAACACTGGCACATATTAACTGTTTTAGCTACCAAATTGAGAAATTTGAGTTCCGTATTATCTCTGCTGCACAGGGATGTCAGTCACCAACTGCTGAATATATTTCTTCCCTGTCTTTTTTGATACTGTTGTCCTTCTCATTTTCAAAAGACCTGTGTGTATGTATAACTGAATAATTCTGTTTTTATATTATCTCTATAGTTCAGGGATTGGACAAAATATTTATTGATAAGTCTTAACATACCTTTCCTCAGTGTTATTTCAAGGTACCATGGATGGGTTCAAAATATTGCTTTATTTAATTTTAAATGGTGATACCATATAGTCCTCTTTAGTAGAGCAAAAACCCTACAGCAAACTATATCAATATAATCCCCACTCTGCAGATTGAATGTCAACTCTAAATAAAAGATAGTGGTTTACCTAAGGTTTTCTGATGTGTTCTTGACAGAAATCAGATATGGATCAAGACAACCTGACTGATGTTCTGGCCAGCTTGCGTAACACATATAATAAGCACAACACACACCACTGTGTGGAACAAAAGCTGGTGTAAGGAAACTATGAGTAGATAATGCTCAGTCTGGATCAAGACAAAGTTTGAATGTTGTTACTGGATTGTTAAGGAAGTGTGTTCAATTAGGTTTGGGTTACCTTTGCTGGTGATGGCTCAGCTATTTATGAATGTTGGCTTTCAACACAAAGCTATGTTTCTTCTTGCTAGCTTTGATTGCTGGTTCAGAGCACCATCCTTTTCTCATTTGAAGAGCTCTTGAATGATTTTAAATAATAATAATGTCCTGTCAAGTCCATTCTGAGTTATGGAGACCCATTTCAGGTTTTTCCAGGTAGAGAATACTCAGAAGTGGTTTACCATTCGCTTCTTCTGGGGTTACCCTGAGGCTATGCAGCTTGCCGAAGGCCACACAAGCTGGCTGTACTTAAAGGAGGCACAGTGGGGAATCAAACCCTCAAACTTTGACTCCACAGCCAGATACCTAACCCACTGAAGTATCCAGCCAGCTGATAATTTTAAAACCAGTACCAAAACGTGATGGTGTCAAACAGACTGGAAGGAATGGAGGCAAGACAATATAGTTGTTTTGAATTATGTTCTGGAAGTTGAATTAGATATAGATGGATTCCTTTAGTACCATTGTGAAACAGTCCTTGTCTAATGTACTCTTAAATGATTTAGGGGTGCAGGTAGAAAATGTACTCCCAAAGATCAGGAGAAACCAGTAGAACTCTGGTCAATAAAGTAATGTATTTGCCTCTTCTAAGCCAATAAAAAGCAGAGTTGCCCAGTTATTCTAGGCCTCCTTTCACAACGGAATATCCTTTTTGGTCTTTGGAACAGGCATAAGGTGCTGTAATTTCTGGACTAGGGAAAAGAATGGTGCTTGCCAAATTCTTACTTTTAAATGATTTTTGTTTTCCCCCACTCCAATTTGCACCTCTAAATCTCACCTGCTTGCAATCCTGTACTGCCCCTCACACTCCCTTCCCTCGGCATTTTTCCGCAGCTGTGCTCACCGTGGACGACCTGAGCCCTTGGACCTCCATCTGGGCATGTTCCTGCCCACACTCCTAACCCAGGCAACCCAAGAACAGCAGAATCGCTTCTTCATGCCTGCTTGGAACTTGGAGATCATTGGCACATATGCCCAGACAGAGATGGGTCATGGTATAGTACTTTCTAGTCCTTATTTGCAACAGTCCTATATTTGGCTAGAAGACATTACAAGTGGCAAAGGGTATATGTTCTTAAGTCTAGCATCTTTCAACCTGTCCAGTTCAAAGTGACTGAGTTCCCTCTTTATTAAAAGAGATATCTGTAGAGAGCCAGGTATTTCAGGTGGTACAAAGACAGCCTACCTGGCTTTATTTGGAGGGAGACATTTCTGAGGAGCCACTGTGCATTTTCCCATAATTCTGGCACAACTGTCCATCATTTTTAATATACTGTACATATATTAAGTTACACACATTAAAATTGAATGTGTGTGCTCTAAGACCAAAGATTAGAAAATACCACTGAGCAAGAAATAATTAATCCACATTTCAAAAGCAACTCGGGGAAGAGAAGCCTCTTTTCCAGTAGTACTAATTTCTCTGATCAGTAACAACCTCTAAATTAACTGGTTCCCAAGAACCACCTTGGCTTTCTTAAGGGTTCATCTCTAGAGACAAAAATAGCTTTTGCAAGAAAAGCTATATCATCTCTCCTTAGTGAACCTCTCTGTTTGATGTGACTCCTAGTTTAAGTAAAGTTTGTAGCCTTTCTGTGCTTTACCTGACCTTCTGGCCTCAGCATCCTCAGAGATTTCCAGTATAAACTAGAAAATATTGGGATCCATGGAACCTAGTAAAAATCTTTAATATCAACTATAATGTTAAGGTATAGCAGTCATCAAAATGGAAGCTTCTTTCCAATTTTGGTTTATAGTGGAGAATGAAGAAACTTCTGAAAAGTAAATACTTTTTGTGAGTGTGATGCATTGCAAAGTGTCAGTTGGGCTTCTAATTGTGAAATTCTGGTGCATTGATCTTGATGTATGAAGTCCATTTCTGTTCCTCAGTGACAAGCTACAATTACTCATTTTTTTTTTTCATTCTGAAAGATGTGGTAATCTTGAGTACATGGCAGTTGAGTTAGGCTCCAGGTCTTTCTGACTCAGTGAATGACATTTGCCCTAGCTGGTAAATATCCATATTTAAAGTAGGACAGAAAGCTTTAATTCAGATACTAAAAGAGCAGTCAGGCTTTCCTTTATTTGGGAATTAGCACAAGGAATTATCAGTATTAAAATGTATTTTTTAAGGTAAAGCTTTCCCAAGAATAAAACAATAAAATATAAAATGCTGTTAATAAAACATTACAAACTCCTATAAAAAGATAAGCATTGCTTCTTAGTCATGGATGCACATACAAAGAAGAGAGTGAATTGGAGCCCTTTTCTATCTCAATCTTAATCAGGTATCATGGGGTAGTCTCCCTGTGAACAGTGCCGTTTGACTTATCTCAGTCTGTATGTCTGCTTTTTCACATGGAAGAAAAGCATGCCTTCACTCTGTTTTAGCAAGGGGGCGTGCCGTGACCTGTAGAAGCAGAAAGGCTGGCATTTTCCATCATCACTTTCTCAACTCAGCAACAGACCATTGATTGAGGCTCCATCTGCCCAAGAAGCACTGCAGAGAGGAATATACCACATCTGTTAGAGGCCAGGCTGAGGCCTAACACCAAGAGAAGCCCAGAGGGAAAAAAACTACGTAAATGTCGGGCCTTCTCAGCAGTGGCCCCTTGCCTTTGGAACAACTTACTTGTAGAGAGCCACCTGGATCCCTCAATGAAGGCCTTCAAGACTAACTTGAAGACATGGCTATACAGGCAGGCCTTCCATACAGCCAACACCTAGCCTATCCACCCTTTCTTCTCTCTCTCTCTCTCTCTTCTTCTTCTTCTTCTTCTTTTTTTCTTTCCCACCTTGGACTCTGTGATTAATTTGGATTTTACCTTAGTTTATTTTATGTTATATGTAAACGCCCAGAGTAGACATGTTCTATCCTGGCAGAGAGATCCTCATGTGTACTGTTTTCCTTGTCCCCAAGGCTGAGTAGTAGAAACATATATTATCCTAAAAACCTTTAAAGCAGGTTGCTTGTTTTATTTACAGTGGTGCCTCGATTTATGACCATAATCCGTTCCAGAAGATGGTCGTAAGTCGAAATGTTTGTAAGTCGAATCAGCATTTCCCATTGAAATGCACTAAAACCCATTTAATCCATTCCGGCTGTTTTTTGGTTGTATGTAGATGCACCAGTTCCAAGTCAAAGCATTTGTTCCCATAGGAACTAATGCAAGTGGTTAATCTGTCCTGTACCACTAGGGGGAGATTTTTTCTTCTTCTTTTAAGCTAAGATGACTTAGGTTTAAAAAAGGGCAAGAAAGGAGGGAGGGAAGGAACAATGGGGAAAAGAAGAAAGAAAGAAAGAAGGTCATCATTGGGGCACACAGACCCCTCAGATAAAGGTTTGTGCTGTTAAGCACAAAAAGAGAGAAGATAGAGAGAGAGAGAAGACAACGGGGGGGGGAGAGTTTGGAGTCTAAAACACTTTTGAAACCAAGCACCTTTTAAACAAAACACATTTTAAACCAAACCACACACCTTTTAAACCAAAGACATTTTAAAACCAAATATCATTTAAAACCAAACACATTTTAAACCCACCCACCAACCTTGTTCCGGCAAACAGACCCCCTCAACACAAAAAGAGAGAACACACACAGAGAGAAGACAATGGAGGGGGGGGAGAGACTTGAGTCAAAACCCAATTTTACACCATGCCAACCACAGCAGCCCTGCACAGAAAATGTTCTGATTTTAAAACAAAAAGACATTGGAGTCACATTTTAAACCCACACCTTTTAAAACAAAAGAGAGGTCACAGTACACAAACCCTAGGAGCCACAGAATGCAAAAATAAATAAATTTTACATTTTAAAATTACAGTCTATTTTTCACATTTGATTTCAATTTAATATTACAGTATACTTTTCACATTTTAAATCCACACTGCAAGACCCATCACAGCACAGAAACATAACCCCCCACCTAGCCCAAACCCAAGCTGCAAAAACCCTGTACAGTAAATACAGTGTACTCACCCAGAACAGGCAGTCTTTCTGTTTTAAAAAAGAAAGTCAAAAATCCAAAAAGCAACCAAACTCCCCAAGACCTATCGGAAATGGGGAGAACCCCCCCAAAAAAACACAAACCTCCCAAAACCCATCACAGCACAGAAACATAACCCCCGCAGCTGAAAGCCACACTGCAAAAACACCCAGAACAGTTTTTAAAAAACAGAAAACAGCACCTTGCTTCCCTGCAAACACACACACACTCACTCCAAAGCAGAAGGAGGCAGTTCCGAAGCCTCCGACAATGCCGCACACTCTCTAACTGCTGGGGTGAAAGAGCTACAAAGAAGCAGCCTCATCACCACCTACAGTTAGAAATTTGAATTTCCCGCCTTTCCCCCCTGCCTTTTTCAGTTCGTAACTGGAAGCTCCGGCTGCAAAATTTTGCAACCACAGCTGGTTGTAACTCAAAATGGTCGTAAGTAGGGACGTTCGTAAGTTGAGGCACCACTGTATTAGCCATCACATTACTCTGGACTTCCAAAACTATGAATTAGTGACCTCTGAAAAGTTATCTTCTCCACGTCTCATTTTGGTTTTAGGAAACTAAAAGACATCACTTCCTTTATTGAGTCAGTAGATATTATGTATGGTTCCAACTGCTTTCCATTTTTCCTAGCATTACTGTATTGTTTTTATCAGTGTATGTCTTAGCTTATATGGTCAACGTACAGTAGTCATTTTACCTTCTAGCAAGAAGTCCAAGTTAATTTGATTTAGAACCCATTTGTCTTTCTTGCGATCCATAGAATTTGTAAAGCTCTCCTCCAACAACACATTTAAAATCTTTTCACATCTTTTCCTCTCAGTTTTCATCATTATCAGGTTTTCATATTCAAAATTCTTTGATATGCTCCAGTAGCCAATATACATTTGCAATATTATCTATATGCATAAATCAAATAAACCCTAAGCATCACTTTGCTTATATGAGAAATTAATGTCCTATAGTTACTGCAGTCTTTGGCAGCTCCTTTTCAAGGATTGGAATGTATATTGAATGTTTTTGGTCTGTGGACCACTATTTTGCTTTCTATATTGATTGGTTAGATTTAGGATGTAGGAAACAGGATTTTGATAGATCTAATTTTATAGAAGTTTAAACTTGAGGATAGGTTTGATACCTGCCAGAGACAAAAAGGAGACACAGAGCTTACTGCATTCATATTTAAAGTGTGTGCTGCAGTCAAAGACTATATATATATTTCCTTTCTGAATGATGAAAAGCTGAAGAAGCAAACCCATGGCTTTGCTGTAAAAGATGAATATACGATTTGTAATGTGATTGGCCAAAGAGGAATCTCTTTACCCAGTTCTACGGTTGCATTAAGTACTTTAAGAAGTGCAAAATATACTTTAAACTTGTTACCTCTTGTTCAAAATCAAAGCCAACTCCACTGCTTTTTGTAAAGTATGCCGTGTAAATCTCAAAGGCCAGTTTACCTGTTTGTAATGTAAGCAAGCTTTAAAAAACAAGAGCCGCCAATCCTGCCATTTTGACAGGAAAAAAACCTCATCAGGAACTACAAAATCCTTACAAGAAATTGGCTTTCTCTCCGTTTGCCTGAGATGCAAAAGATAAGAAATTGGTCTGTCAGGTTCCCTGAGCAATCTGATTCTTATGTGCCTAACTTTAATGAGGGACAAGATTACAGCTATGAGTAGAAGCAGCAGAATGAAGATTTGGAAATGAAAAGCGTGGACGAAAAAACTGCAGAACATTTTAAGCCTGACTGTGGAGACACCTGCAAAGCAATATCTGGATTTGGGCAACCAGCTGCATCACAGAAGAGGGGGAGAGGTCCATGGAAGGGAAAGTCTAGTGACCCTGCCACTTCTTTAAATGACATTGTCTTTAAATTGCTTTATGTTAGAAATCCATTTTGCATATATGCTTCAATATCAAATAAGCAAGGAAATTAAGCTATGAGTAGTGACTATCTCTTGGCTGTAAAACCAGTATATTTTTAGGATGGAGGTGCCCAACATTTGAATGATTTGAGTACAAATTTAATTTTATGACTTATTCACGATTGGCATGCATCCAGTATTTCACACATGTAGTTGCCTTCATTTGTAATGTGTTTTCTATTTCCCTTTGTGCATGTATACTTTGGCAGTATGTTTTTTCCTACCTTTTGTGTTACCTATATGTGCCCCTACATGGCTGTTGACTGAAAAATGGCCACTTTTGTAAGTCCACACGCTAATAATGACTGGTGAAATAAGATGTGCTACCTGTTCACAGGAACTCATCTCCGAGGATTGGAAACCACAGCCACTTATGATCCTGCAACCCAAGAGTTCATCTTAAACAGCCCAACTGTTACTTCTATTAAGTGGTGGCCAGGTGGATGTAAGTGAATTGCTTAAACTTTGAAGCAAAAGAAGATTTCCTCACACTGATTCCCCCCCCCCCAAGACAATAAAATCAACTAATTCTTGTTTTTTTAAATGGAGTTCAGACTGTATAATCTTGTTTCTGTACAGAAAATTTTGAGTGAAAAGGTATTTTATCTTATTTTGTTTAGGATCTTGTAGAAACTATAGAATGAAAGAAATGTTTTTATTATTGTATTGTGCTGTATAAGGATGCTAAGAGGTCTTTCAGAGAAGTTTCTTGGTCTTTTATGTATCTTATTTTATGAGGACTAAAGTTTGAAATGAAATGACATGAATTTTCATTAGGGAGGCTTGGAGAGGGTTTTCTTTCCCCTGCTGTTTTTTACCTTCTCCAACCTGGTGCACTCCAGATTTGTTGGGCTGCGACTTCCTTCTGGGTCATTGGCCATGGCTGTTGGGAATTATGGGAGTTGTAGTCCAGCATGTCTGCAGGGTGCCAGGTTAAGGAAGGCTGTTTTAGGGAAATGTACTATAGTATGCTCCTTGCTGTGTCAGATGCTCCTTCGGCCTACCTCACCTCGGGCAAAGCCTGGTTATATTTCAAGAGAGACCACCTCCAGGTTGAAACTGAAAACAACTTAGTTTTCAGACCTTTTTGGATGTGCATATTTATTTCGGTGGCTGGCAAAGCTCCTATTTAGTACTTACAAATAAACTGGATGTTTTCCTGGGTTTTGTAGTGAAGCTTCTATTTGCTTAGGTTTTTTTCCAACTTTTTCTTCTTTGCAGTGGGTAAGACGTCAAATCACGCTATTGTTTTGGCTCAGCTGTACACCCAGGGCAAATGTCATGGCTTACATGCTTTCATTGTGCCAATACGCCAACTGGGAACACATGAACCACTGCCAGGTATGGATCTGCTGTATACATGTATGTTAATAGCTTCTTTGTCACTATCCAGCTGTGTGGAATGCTGTAAGTAGTTATGTATCTTGTACAAAGGAAGGCAGGATTTAATGCTTCATCCACCATGCCCTGTGTGACTTTGGAGCAACGTCTCCCAAGCTTGGTGCTATCAACCACAGCTCCCATCATTCCTAGTTAGCATAGCTGGTAGACCACCTCTAGACAGCACTAACTCAAGGGAGAACTCTTCTAGATGATTGAAACATCAGAATTGCTGAGACTTGTCAAGGTCCACTCAGTCTCTTGGGAAAACCTGACTCTGCACAAAGAAGTACACCATCTGTTAAGTAGCTGAGTTAAAAGAAGAAAGTATATCAAGAATATCATTAGATGAGGACACATCATGAGATTTTTAATTGAGATCCTCCATTATGGTAAAGTACCTTTTACATATAGGCATATGTACATATATATGTCCACAAGCATGTTCCCATTAATCATAGCTGTTAATCATAGCTCCCATGTTAAGTGCTTTCATGGGATCTATGATTAACTTTCAGTCACTTGCCTATTAATTAAGATGATCAGCTTAATGGGAATACAGTACTGTATTTTATCACAAAGTACAAAGAGCTGGTGTAAAAATCAGGCAGATTTCCTTACAGATATAGATGCACTTTTGGTTCTTGTGGAAAATCCAGGGTGGTGTGAACACCAGTAGCTTCCAATAGCTTTATCTTGTGCAGCTCCTTGAACTGGGAAATTGCTCACTCCTGACTTAAATGAACAAAACAGTAGTGGTATCTCATGACCATGAGAGTAGAGAACATCTGCCATAAGTTTCTGTTCATGAGTAAGGAATAGTTTACCATAGGTTCTGGAGAGACTGAAGGATCTCGTGAGATCCTGAGTCTGTGCACTTTATATTACTATAGAGTGATATGCAAGATACATAGCTTCTTCAGGATTCAATGATACTTTGTGAACCTTCATGCACTGAAAGAATCATTATTACATCAATTAAGGAAACTTGTGCCACCATATTTTGACACTTTCAGCTGGTAATAATTCTTGGGGAAAGAGTACTTTGTGAATGTTCCATTTTGGTTTTGCGTTAAGAGCTCAGAGAATGTATTCTGATCATCCTCTTCCTGTCCTTACTGTACCCTGTTTGATAGGCATTACTGTTGGTGATATTGGACCTAAGTTTGGTTATGATGAAATGGATAATGGCTACTTAAAAATGGACAACTTCCGCATTCCCCGTGAAAACATGCTAATGAAACATGCCCAGGTAAAATGTTTGTGGTCTTTCTGGTATTAGCCATTTATTTATAGTTGCCAGATAGTCAGAAAATTTAAAAGAAAGCATTCCAATCAGAGGCTTAATCTGGCTCATTGTGGAAGCTTGGACTGTTTAGAGACCACTTCAGACATCTTTTAAGTTGATGTTACAGGATGTAACAACTCCCTGTTCAAACCAGGGAGTCCTGACCATGCATTTATTGAGGCCAAGTGCATTGGAACCTTTTTAAAGTACAACTGTCTCTGTCTCCTTGATGTATAAAATGGTGCCAGTATCTGGATGGATATACCAGTTATTAATCTCAAAATATTTCCTGCTCCAACCACATCCTGCTTAAAAAGCATACATTAAGTATCTGGCCTCCTCCCTTTTGTTTTCAGCTGTCATCTGTTTTGTAAGCGCCTGATGATGGCTGTAATTATTTTCATCACCAGGCTTTGCTTGGAGAGTATGACCTTTGGAGTCTCAGGATAGTCGTTCCACTGGTTTCATGGTGAGACAGACAGCAGCCAGAAGTGTTGGTGGTGGGCATCCATTTATATTTTTAGATTCACATCCTGCTCCCGTCACACAATTCTAGCATGGAAGATGATGAATAGAATTAAGTGCGGAACTCCAGTATCTTTCTGACAACTGAGTATCTGTTGGGACATGGTTTTACTGTATCTCATGGCAAAGCAAAATGTAGTCCTTTTAAAACTGTAAAAGTACTGTAAATGCTTGGTTAGCTTCATGTAGTCCTTTTAAAACTGTAAAAGTAAAAGTACTGTAAATGCTTGGTTAGCTCGCTCATCAAGTCTCTACCACTTTATTTTTCCTAGGTTGAACCAGATGGCACATATGTGAAACCCTTAAATGCCAAGCTAACATATGGGACCATGGTATTCATCCGCTCAATTATTGTAGGTGATGCTGCTCGCTCTTTAGCCAGAGCTTGTACAATTGCCGTCCGTTACAGTGCCGTGAGACACCAGTCTGAATTAAAGCCAGGGTAAGAAGCTAATGAGAGGAAATCAAGCCTAACTTTTCCACAGTGTTTTATTGCTAGAATAACCATTATACTCTGCTACCCCTTGCTCAGAGCAAATATTGTAAATAAATAAATATGAGTGGTGATTCATTTTGGGCCCAAAAGGACATGGCAAAGCATATGGGTGGAAACAGAGCAACAGTGGGTCAGTGGGGAAAATCTCAGGACATTTTGCCCGAAGCCAGTCCTTGTTCCCAGAACTTCAAGCCAAGTAGCAATAAAATGGAAATAGCACTAGGAACAGTGAACATTGTTATACGACCCAAATATGCATTAGTTTTTCATGGTTGTTGTTTTTTCTCACTCTTTACTTTTTGTTTCTCTAGCTTATTTGTATTGTCTGAACTTGTTATATAAAATTTGTGAACTTTTTTCTTTAAAAAAAAATCCACAAATTTTCCTATACCTCCAGTATTTGTATTGTGTTTCTAAGAAATAAAGCTATAGCATCAGAAACCGTTTATTTCATCCTTTTGTTTACTTTCTGTTACAGGGAACCAGAGCCTCAGATTTTGGATTATCAGACTCAGCAGTACAAACTGTTTCCTCTTCTGGCAACAGCGTATGCCTTCCACTTTGTGGGTGCCTATATGAAAGATACCTATCATCGCATCACTGGGAACATCAGTGAGGGAGACTTGAGTGAGCTGCCAGAGGTGGGAAGAAGGACAATTGACTGCTACAAAATGTATAGCTTTTCTTTAGGACAAAACCAGACAGAGAGAGGATGGCTCCCAGAAGGGAAGCAGAAAAAAACCATTTTTGGTGCCTAGTCATGTACAGTGGTGCCTCGCTTAACGATTGCCTCACTTAACGAGGAAATAACTGTATGATTAGGCTTTTGTGATCACAAAACAATGGTTTAAATGGGGTTTTTTTGTTTAACGATGATTGGTTCGCTGCTTTGGGAACCGATTTTCACTTTACGACGATCAGCAAACAGCTGATTGTCGAGTTTCAGAATGGCCACCGGCTGAAGAAAATGGCCCCCCGCTGTTTTCTAGGACAGATTCCTCCCTTTACAGGCACCAAAAATGGCCAACCTATGGAGGATCTTCGCTGGACGAGCAGGTATTCAGCCCATTGGAACACACTGAACGGTTTTCAATGCGTTTCAATGGTTTTTTTTATTTCGTTTGACAATGTTTTCGCTCTACAGCGATTTCGCTGGAATGAATTAACATCATCAAGCGAGGCACCACTGTATTGCAGTTTCGAATTAACACTATACCAGTACATGTCATGCAGATGAATGGCAGTACTGTTTTTTCTTGTGGGACAAGATGCATCTCCAGCAGTAAACAGGAGTTTTAGCTGTTGTTTAGAACATTGTACAGGGACTCTAAAGTTCACTTTACTGCTTTTATGACTATTCCAGTATTGGCTAATTTCTCCTCCAGTAAAACAAACTTATGCAGCTGCTGTACCTCTTGTTGTAAACTGCCAGTTTTTCATCATCAAATTCAACAGCAAGAGGATGGAGGTACAGTTCAGTTTTCACTCACTGTCACAGAACCAACTGAGCTGGAAGTGCAGGGGGCTGCTCTATTCAGTTCAGGTCACCCTACCCAAAATTTGCAATACTGTTGTGAATGGGCAGAAGTACAGGAAGGCAACTAGTACTGTATGGCCAGACTCCTGGTATGTTTCACTTTGGCAGAAAATATCAATGTGGTAGAGACTTTTAAAATCAGTACTACCACAGAGAGAGAGATAACAATATCTCTTGGTTCTAAACTTGGGGACATTTAACTTGATTGGTTGTATGTTCAGACAGAATGACAAAAAAAAACTGCTTCATGCTGTGCACTGTTAGCTTATGGAGCTACAAGAAAGCACTGGTGGCCATAAATGGTGCCTGAACTCTGTGCTACCTTTTAACTGCAATGGCTGCTAACCATTAGGAGTTAATTAATCTAAGAGGGAGAAAATGGGTGGTTATAACCTTCATGAGCAAAAGCAAAAGGCAAAAAGCTGTTAGAATTAAAGATTTGACGATCCCTGGCTGAACAAGCCATAGGACCCTTGTTGTATCATGTCTTGTCGGGAGAGAACCAAAAAGTATGATGGTTGACGGTGACATACGACAGGTGTAGCAACAATCTGATAGACTTTTGATTTTTAAAAATTCACAGGATTTTAAAAATGAAAAGCGGTATAGAAACACTAGTGGTAATATTGACAGTAGTAACGATTGTTGGCTCCTAACATTTCTTCTTTCCTCAGCTGCATGCGTTGTCTGCAGGGCTTAAAGCCTTCACTTCTTGGATTGCCAATGCTGGCATTGAGGAATGTCGGATGGCTTGTGGTGGGCATGGCTATTCCCGCTGCAGCGGCCTGCCTGATATCTATGTCAATTTCACTCCCTCCTGCACGTATGAAGGAGAGAACACTGTCATGATGCTGCAGACTGCCAGGTTAGTAATGCAGCACTTTGTCTGTTGCTTCATGTGGGCTTCTCTTCAACTCATTTTTCCACTTGTTCACATCACTCACCTACTGCCTGTGCCAGAGAGGTGATTGGACACTAGTCCATCTTAAAATTGCTGTCAGTGGTTTGTTCATGGTGGGCTAGCCAGACTTCATTGTGGAATTGGGTTTTCCTCTTGAAACTCTGTGTATGTAGATGCTGTATCACCCTCCTTCTTTCTCAAGGGATACTCTGGAGCACTTTCCCCTCACAGTACTTGTTGTGGAACACAAGCTAGAGATTAACACGTAAAGGGGCACTCCTGAGAAACTTGCAAAGTAACAGAGGTTACACTTGGGAGGACAGTGAGCCACCTGTAGCAGACTTGTGGAGGGGGGGGACATCCTTCTAAAACTTACTGGGAGAGCCAAAACTTCACAGTAGTTTTGGATTGTCTCCTTGTCTCAATGGTTAACAGAATTCCTCATCCCAGGTAAGATGAGTCTAGGACAGAAAGCAAGCCTTTTTTCTGCCTGGCAGAGTTTCCAAAAGTACACTGGTGGGCAAGAAATGAGTGTGTATTACGGGAAAGATTTGTCAGTTCTCTTAATTGATATTGCAACTTATCATAGAGCTACAGTATCTCAGATTCCTTGAAGGTCTTACTCAGGGAGGAAAATGGATCTTGAATACTAAGGTTGTTCTGGAATTGTTGAGGTTTTGTTTAATTGTTTTTCTTCATTTGTGTAAAGCCTATGAATAAAATACGTCCTGTGGCAGTTCACTTTAACATGAAAAAATGCAAACCACTGACTCAGTAAAATAAAATCAGATTAAAACCCACAGCTTGGGAGTACTAGAAGTGCCAGATCCTAAAAGTAGTAGAACATTTATATCTTCAGATTTAAAACCTGAAGTATATTAAAAAGTATATCCTATGGTACAGAAAATGGCAAAAAATAGATACCAAGTAAGCCTCTTTGGAGAGAACAGTCTGCAGTATACCTGCCACCAAAGGGTTCACCTTTTGACAGTTACAGATATCATTTTGGATGGGATTTTGTGGGGTTTTTTATTTACCTTTGGTATGAATTAAGTCCCCCCCTTTATGTTTACTATTGCTGATGGTGAGTTTAATTGGCTGTTTAATTTTTGCTCTTGTTTTTGAATTACGTATTTTATTCCTGCTGTTCCTAGTTGTGTTGCTTCATTCATTTGTTCATTAAACTGAGCTTTGTTGTATCTTTGTTCTCTTGCAGTGTTCTGACTTGGGAGCCTTTTTTCAGGCAGAAAGGAAGTCTATGCATGTTAATATTAATAAATAAAATAAACTCAAATTCTTGCCCCAAAAGTTCTTAATTAAAAGGAAGTCGGGGCGGGGGGAGAATATCAATTCAAGAACAGTACAGTGGTGCCTCACATTACGATGTTAATTCGTTCCAGCGAAATCTCTGTAGAATGAAAACATCGTAAAGCAGAATTTAAAAGCCCATAGAAACGCATTAAAATCTGTTTAATGCGTTCCGATGGGCTTAAAACTTACTGTCCAGTGAAGATCCTCCATAGCGTGGCCATTTTTGCTGCCCATGCAGCGAGGAATCCGTCCCTAAACACAAGCGGGAAGCCATGTTTTTTACCCGGCAGCCATTTTGAAACCGCCGATCAGCTGGCCGAAAATCGTCGTTTTGCAAGAATCGGTTCCTGAAGCAGGGAACCGATCATTGCAAAGCGAAATTCCCCCATAGGAAACATCGTTTTACAATCACTTTTGCAATCGCACAACGTTTGTCGTAATGCGATTTCGTTGTTAAACGGGGCGCTCGTCTTGCGAGGCACCACTGTATTCTGAAAGGTTTCCTACTCACCCTATCCAGGCTGTAGTCCAGATGGACAGAAGTCATATGGTTTTATGGCAACATTTTTTTTCTTTCTCGCTGTACTCTGCATGTACTTTGCCCAGTGTCTGACATGACTTGATTGAAATTATACATTGTTTTACAGTACTATGAGCAGGAAAATGATGAGATGTAATTTTCTTCTTGCATCCAGATTCCTTGTCAAAAGCTATACCCAAGTTAGTTCAGGACAGCTGGTCAGTGGCATGTTGTCGTACCTGAATGATATACCCGGGCAACACATTCAACCCCAGCAGGTGGCTGCCAGACCCACAATGGTGCATATCAACAATCCATCCAGCTTGGTGGAAGCATATAAATTGAGAGCTTCTAGGTAAGTTCCTTAACAAGGTGCGTGAAAGATATCGTCAAAATATAATTTTTAAACAAAAATCTGTCGAGCCCAGAATAGCTTTTCATCTGGCTACAGTATGGGTTGGTTTTCACTTTACTTTGCTGTTGCCCCTCAAATGAAAGCTGTCAGCCTGCCACCACCATCCCAAAGCCATCCTACTAACTGCTGAAAAAATGTGTATGGTGCAGCAGTGCTACAGAGGTAATGTTCACTGTAGCAAATTTTAGAATAAATAGTGATCCAGAAAACAGCTAAGAAGAAGCCAGGGAAAGAACATGGACATAAACAGCATATGTAGGTACTGATTTTCTTTTTTTTAAAAGCCAAGCTGCATGACAGAGGCTCAAAGTAGTGTCAGGTAAAGGTAAAGGTTCCCCTTGACATTTAGTCCAGTCGTGTCCTACTCTAGGGTGCGGTGCTCATTCCTGTCTCCAAGCCGTAGAGCCAGCGTTTGTCTGAAGACAGTTTCCGTGGTCGGCGTGACTAGACATGGAACACTGTTACCCTCCCACCGTGGTGGTACCTATTTATCTACTCACATCTGCATGCTTTTGAACTGCTAGGCGGGCAGGAGCTGGGAGAAGCGATGGGAGCTCACTCTGTCACGTGGATTCGATATTACGACTGCTGGTCTTCTGACCTTGCAGCACATGGTGGGTGGAGGATTGACAGGCATGGCGCACACACACACACACACACACACACATTCAAAAGAGAGTGTTATACCTCAGAAATGACTGAATTATTTTGTTGTTGTTGCAGGGCAAGAGTACTATAAGTGTTTATTACATCTTCCAGTATGTGCCCTGGTCTTGGCTATTTTTGCGAAGTACACTGGCCCCATTTTCCACCACTGTAGCTATAAAACGCATCACTGAAATTCAGAAGTAGACCCCCCCAAAAAAAAACAGTACATCTACCTTTACTTTCTAAAAGAGGACACTCTGCTGTGCCAATTTGCAGACTTGAGATGGCAGGAGGCAGAAAGCTGCTGCCCTTCCTCCTGATTTTTGATGGTGGCAACTGTGAGACTTCTAGAAGATGGCAATGTGCCCCAGGATGGCTCCCATCTCAGCCTTACAAAAGCACTCTGGAAGGAATAGCATGTTTTATAGTATAAGAGTGTGTGTGTTTGTCTACACGACATTGTGCAGTATTATACTGGTTAGTGTTATATAATTCTTATATGTCACTTGGTAGAATGAATAAAGATACACTACTGGTATAGTTTTAATATGGACAAATGTTAAAACAAGACACATAGAACACAAATCCGTATATGGAGAGGAATGAGGTGTTGAAGGGCAAGCATAACAACATGCCATGTCACTACTGCTTCTGAGAGTTTAGTTTCCTCATCTGGCAGGAATAGCAATACAGTTATGAGATGTAGATTTTTCTGCCTTCCATTTACTTATACCGGGAGACAGAGTAAGAGCCACACAGAAATCCTATGAGAAATAGGGAGTTGATAATCCTTACTTTACAAAGTGGGGACTAACAATGAGAAAGTCTGGATGGATTTAGGCAGGTGTTGTGGGGAAGGCCCTTTAGTTTACTGACTGGGATCACAAAACAGAAGAAAGAGTGAATCTTAATATCAATAAATCTCATTGCCTTCAAAAGGAGGAGAGTCAGTAATACACACGCAGTATATGTGTACAGTGAATCTCAATATGAGTGAGTTACTCTGTTAAAGGTCCAGTGGAAAGTTTCAAAGTAACAACTGATTTTGTGCAGGATGCATAAATAACATATCTACTGAAAAGCAACTACGTCTCTGTTAGGTTGTTTAGACCAGTGGTCCCAAACCTTGAGTAACCCAGGTGTTCTTGGACTTCAACTCCCAGAAACCTTGGCCAGTACAGGTGGTGTTGAAGGCTTCTGGGAGTTGCAGTCCAGGACCCCTGGGTTACCCTAGGTTGGGAACCACTAGTTTAGACTACATGATCAGGAAATTTTGTATCTATTACAATGTGTGCCCTCACCCAGTAAATACAAACTTTCCAGACCTGCTTTCATGCCCAGTTATGGACACTTCCACATTCCACACACACTCCCCTTCATCCACATTCTCTCTTCCCTCTCAGAGTCTGCGTAACATATCTTTGGCAACATGTATCCATTACCATTTCTCACTATTTGTACTAGTACTTGGGTTCCATTAGGATTCCAATGAATAACCTGACAATTTGCTAAGGTTAATATTGGTTTGATGTCATTTTGAAGAAGCTGTACTTGTGTTCTTTTGTGCTTTAGGCTGGTTGAATTTGCAGCAAAGAACTTGCAAGCTGAACTCAATCGTAGAAAGGGCAAGGAAGAGGCTTGGAATCGGACTTCAGTTGATCTAGTGCGAGCTTCTGAGGTCAGTGTCACCCACAAATTAATCTGATTTGGTTGTTAGTTCACCCCACAGGTGCCTGAATTCACACTTTCCCATTAAATATCCCTCTTTCAGGCACACTGTCACTATGTGGTAGTCAAGCTATTCACAGCAAAGCTTTCAGAAATTGGTGATCCTGCTGTCAAGGCGGTCCTTAACAACTTGTGTCTACTGTATGCACTCCATGGGATTAGTAAAAACAGTGGAGATTTTCTGCAGGTTAGTGACTAAATTCTGCTTTGAGACTTTGAACTACAATGCTGTGCTCTGTAATCAAACAGAAGGAACCCAGCTGAGAAAACTAGGATTAAACAATGCTTGAGGGGGTGCCATGGAAAAACTTTTGCAGAAGTACTTTTAGCAAAAGACCTATAGGCATAATTGGCTGGCTGTGGAGAAAATGGAACACTCTTAAGTTTGTGAATGTAAGATTGCATTTGTCGTATCGAGGCAGTTATTGAGAGGGTTTAACGATGATAGGGCTGAGAAAGGGCTGTGCCCTTGAGAGCTGTCAAAGGTTAAATCAGGATGGCTTTATGGGGGAAGTGATACTCATCTCCCTAACATGACCGTATGCTTGGAATTTAGGCCACAGATTCATAGCATGTCTGTAAATCTAATATAACTCAGATTAATAAATGTGCACTTGTCTCTGCAGTTCTATTACCTTTTGAATTTGTGGTTTCTACTTCAGGGAGGCATTTTATCAGATGCACAAATAAATCAGGTGAACCAGCGTGTGAAGGAACTCTTGGCACTAATCCGCCCCAATGCAGTAGCTCTGGTAGATTCCTTTGACTTTCATGATTCCGTGCTTCAGTCTGTACTCGGTCGATATGATGGTAATGTCTACGAAAATATGTTTGAGTGGTCAAAGAAATCACCACTAAATAAAACACAGGTAAGCAATACTTATACTTTACTCTGGTTTACCAACTGATTACATGATGTAGGACATAGCAAGTAAACTGGTTTGTCAGAGAATTCCTTAGAAAGGATGCTAAATTGAAATTATACTCACCTCTGTGGGGGCTAGTAAAAACATAGCAGTGGTCCTCAGTTAACTTGAATTGTGCATTCTGATCTAATTATATCACACATTTTCAAGGTGTGGACTTTTAACTGGATCTCCAAACCTCCATTAAATTTTATGATGGGTGTGATGTTAAGAGTCCTCTTATTTTTGCTTCCCTTTCTACTGTCACTAGACAAGGAAGAGCAGTAGTAGTACATGTTCTTTAGAACAGAAGGCAGGAATTGGGATTTGCAGCTGGTTTGCCAGCAACAAAAGTGTCCAGACCTGTATAAAATCTAAAATGTTGCCTATGGCATGCTTTCTAGGTCAAGTATGAAAGTTCTCTTGTAGTAGTACTCTACTGTCTGAGTCAGCTTGTGCTGTAACTGAAGACAATCTGCATGTGTACAGCTTTTCACCCCATTTGCTTGCTCTTCAGTAGAGGTTAAGAATCCTTCTCAGTTGGGGAAGTTAACAAATTACATACCCTAAAGAACAAAAATTTGTACAAATATCTGAAGTGGAGACAATGGGTGATCATCTATGGTTTCATAACCAATGGCATTTGAAGCTGTGGATGAATGCTATTAACAAGTGCTTCTCTCTTACCTTCCCATTCTGGCTTGTTATTTTTCTTGGTTTGCTAACCAGCAGTATAATTGAATTCCCTAGTTTAGATGTAAGGATGGGGGACTGTGGCTTAATTCAAGGTGGAATGGCTACCTTGAAAATAGTGTGAAGAAAGTGTGTGCAGTTACAGCACTTACTTAGAGCCTCATGAACTTCATTATCCAAACACAGCTAATTTTTTAGAAATTCCCTCAAACATTTGTTATGAGCATTATATCAATGATTGGAACAACTAATTTGTGCACTTCTTATACTCTGTTACCTACTCTGTGTGTGCATGTATATATATAATGATTTCTCGGTGTGGTATAGTGCAGGGGTCCCCAACCCCCAGTCTGTGGACTGGTCCCAGTCCATGGCCTTGCCAGGACTGGCCGCGGAGACAAATCTGCCCCCTGCTGGAACGCACAGACACATGCACGGCCCCTCCCATGCACGCACAGCCCCTCCACACAGGTCACATTTTGTTCACCTCAGTTCTAGAAGTAAGAAGTCTGTGTTTGAAATGAATGACTAATCTTACAATTTCTTGCAGGTCCATCCATCTTTCCACAAACACCTGAAACCAATGCAATCCAAACTGTGATGACCTTTGCTGCTGTTTCAGTGTACAGTTTTCCAGTTCCCTTGAATCCAAGATGTCATTTGCCCTACAAACACCCGAATCACTTGGCAAATCCAGATAGCTATAGGGTAATCAGTAATGGTAGCCTTTTCCTCACATTTAAAATAATTTTTAAGGGGTTAGAGCACAGGAATACAAAATGATAAAAGTGCAATTGTAATTATGTGCAGAAATTAGCCTTTTTAATCTTTCAGAAACGCTATACAAATTGGTATATTGTCAATTTGTGAAAAACTTCAGATTGCTACTGAAGCCAACAGGATTTTTTTATTGGGAAGTCATTCCAAAAGTAGTCAGCTGGCAACAGCTTGTCTTCTGAAAATTCTGTTAAAACACAACATCGTTTTGCACCCTTTATCAGTATTGAGTGCAGTACAGTGGTGCCTCGCAAGACGAAAGTAATTCGTTCCACGAGTAGAGCCGTCATGCGAAATTTTTGTCTTGTGAAAAGCGGTTTCTCATAGGAATGCATTGCCATGCATTCCTATGGGAAAACTCGCAAGATGAACAAATTGTTTTCGTCTTGCGAGGCATCAGTGTTGCAGGGGGGGATTGTCTTGCGAAGCACAAGCATAGAAGAAGCTGTCTTGCGAGTCATCAACACAATTGCAAAACACTTTCGTCTTACAGGTTTTTCGTCCGGCAAGGTGTTCATCTTGCAAGGTACCACTGTATAGGCAAAATTTTGCCAGGATTGTCCTGTGCATTTAACTCTTCTTTGGAGAGGTCTTCGTAGCTTTGTCTGGATCTAAAGGACCATAGCACTCTTGGCATTACAGGCACAGATTGTCCTCCTAAGTAATTCTTATTTTTCTGCCATATGGCATCTAAGAGTTCATCTCCCTCTTTTTCTCTAGAACTATAATTTCATTATGGCATCACCTGTCAAAGTTTATGGCATGAAAGTATGTTCTTCAGCAGCTGCTATTCATTTATAGCAGTTGTCTTCCTGTTAAGTTCCAGCATCATGAAACACTAAAAAATTAGTTCTCTAGCTGAAGACCAGACAATATTTATATCTTTGTACTTATTACCAATGTATTACATTTCCATTCAGTAAATGTTTTAACATATCTGGGACAGGGAGAGGAAAAAACCTTCAATAACGTTGGACAATATTTCGAGGTCACTGTCACAAATTGTAAAAGGCTTGGTATCTCCTAGGACTCTTTCTGAAGCACTTTAAATTTGTTCCTTACATTTTGTAAAAGTCATACACTCGATAGGAAGAAGTTATAGAACAATGGAGAAAAATATCTTCAGCCACACAATCTGAATCTCAAGGGTGCCACAAAGAAGAGGTATACCACAGTAAGGTGCTCTTAGGCTGAATATTTGCAGATTATTGTTAGCAGGCTAACATTTTAGCATTACAAAGAGCTTCATTCTGTGAAATCAGCAGGAGTAACAATTGTAGCAACATGGCTGGACTCTGTCTTGCTAATTTTTTGAAGCAAATCAAGATTTAAAGATCCACAACTGAAGAAGTTGGAGTTGCCTTCAATTATGTGAAATTCTGTAAGACTATCCCGACATCTTAAGAATGGATGATTCTTGATATGCCTGCTCAAGAGAGAAACATCCTACAGGGATGGATTTTTCTGCAATCTTCAAGCAAGAGGAGCATTGATCCAAAAACTGATTTTAGAATCATTTTTAACTTTCTAGCTGCTAAAGCATTCCTTCTAATATTTCTAATTACTGTGCTGTCAATGTATGTGCATCCTGACTTTCTGTGTACCATGTTGATAGGAGTCAGAAACTACAGTTGAAGACTGTTGGAACATCTTTTTCAGGACATGTGTAAACTTAATAAAAATTTACTTTCTGTTTGTGTACATTTACTGTGTCTTCAGTTGACTATATAAATAGTAAAAAGCAAGAAAGCAGCATATAATTGAACCCTGTTTGGGTCATATATTGGAAGCCAGTACTTTACAAGTAACATTTTGGAAACTCACAATATAATGATTAGTTATTAGACATAATCTTAGAACTGCAGAGCTGGAATGAATCCTATGGATCATTGAGTCCAAGTGGCACAGTGGAGAATTAAACTCCAAACCTCTGGCTCCACAGCCAGATATTCAACCACTGAGGGATCCAGCATTTCACAATAAAAGTATTGTAACAAGCAAGTGTACCAGAAAATTTGTCTAATATTTAAAACTTGTCTGATAATCAGAAATTATTTTTAAATGCAATCTGAGGCATTTTGACAATAATTTTCCATATTTGATATTCTCTTATCAATCCTGAATGACAAGAGAGGTATGCTTTCTTTTTTTACCCTTCTAGTACTTTGAAAGTGCAATATCAGAATTAGGCACTAGAAAATAGGCAGGTTTTTTATTTTTCTGGCCTGCTAGCAACATTGACACAATGGCCATGAAAGAGGCAAACTGCTTGCTTGATCTACACAAAAATAAGATACATTATGGTTGTGGCGAAGCAACTACAGTAGCAAGACAACACGCTTCCTTTTAAAAAGTAACGTGCTGAGCCTTGTTCTTGTTATTTGTTCTAGAATTTCTGTTCTCAAATAGCTGGGGTTCTGATTTGCAGGTGAGAGAAAGGCAAATCTGAGCTTTAAACTCTTAATTTTCGTTCCCTATGGGAGTAGGGCGAACGAGGGATGAAGCTGGTTCGGCCCCCTGCTACCTCACGTGAGGGGGGGGGCTTTCCTATACGAAAGCCCTACCGGAACATCTATGATAGAAGTTTCGTTTTATCCGAATTAAAGCCGCTAATGAACTTTTCTACACCCAACGTAGTAATGAAAATAGGCAATGTGTGCTGCGGTCCTGTTTGTTACACGTTAACTTAATCTCGGATCACCTCGCTTTCAAGAAATGTTTGTACGTGTTGTTTGGTTCCGCGAGAACCATAATACTTTTGCTAGAATCGCATCTGTTTCAGTGGTAACGCTAATACTCCCCCCCCAATCATCTCCCAGGTGAGGGTATGAAAGCACTGTGCTTGTTACTCGCTGTCAAGCGGCATCCGATTAGGGACCGAGTCTGGAGAACTAGGGTTCAAAACCCCACTCGGCCAAGGAAGCTCCCTGAGGGAGCGGAACTGGTAAAACCACTCCTTGAAATAAATAAATAAATTGAAAGCCCTGTTAGGATCTCTGTAAGACGGTTCCGAATGGACAGCACAGAAAACACACAAGAAGGTTTTTAGGACTACAGTTCCTTTTATTTCTTTCCCGTGGGCCACAGCGGTTGAAGCTTCTGGGAGATGGTGTTCACATCATTGGGAGAAATAAAAATTATACACTTTAGCATCACAGATGTCCCATAAATCCCGAGGTTTCCTGCAACCCCGCCAACAACACCCTTCCAACAGGTGGCTTTCCGGTTCAGTCGGGCGCGGCAGCGTGCTGGGAAATGTAGTTCTACCCAGCTGCTGAATGACTTGGTATGGTTGGAAGAACTGCATTTCCCAAGACGCCTTGCGCCTGAATCTGCTCGGCGTGGGTAACGGGCCGCTGGCGGCGGCGGCGGCGAGATTTGCTGCCTCGTTGCTATTTTCTTCAGAGAGTCGGGCAAGGCTGCGCCCGGTACAGCGGTTCTTGAGGCCGCTCCTCACCGTTAAGGAGCCATTTGGGGCGGCGTGAATGTCCTCTCTGCCTTTCCTTGTGGGCAATACCTCCGCGGGTGGCTTGGCTGCTATGGTAACTACGTTAGGTTCCGGCCGCGAAAGACCTGGGGAGGTGGCGGACGGAAGAGAAGCTGCTCCCATTACGTACCACTGCCTCGGAAAGTGTGGCGGAAACATGTAACGTTAAACGCCATAAACTGGAAATACAGTACTACTGTGGCCACCAGTATTGTGTTCTGCCATGGATAGGGTTGCCCAGGAGCTATGTATTCAAAGGGTCGTTTTTTGTACTATGGTACAAATTTTTTCTCTCTTAAGTTTTGTTTAAATATTACCTGGTCAGGGCATTTTAAAGAGCATTTGAGGTGACAGTCTTAGGCAGATGTTGGCAAAAGAGAAGTGGGTGGGGATATAGGGGAAAAGGGGAAAAATATTGTGGCACTTTAAACACTAAACAATTATTTTCATTGTGAGCTGTCAACTCCTGTCAACCTAGCAGTTCGAAAGCATGAAAAATGCAAGTCGATAAATAGGTACCACCAGGGTAGGAAGGTAACAGACAAACGCTAGCTCTATGGCTTGGGAAACAGAGATGAGCACCACCCCCCTAGAGTCGGACACGGCTGGAGAAAAATGGTCAAAGGGAATCTTTACCCCATGGACTCAAATCCACAGCTTCAGCCTCTTTTGTGGATCAAAATCCAGTTCTCATGTGCCTGAAGAAGTGAATTTGGATCCTGAAAGCTCACAATGAAGCAGTCTGCCACAGTATTGTCCTTTTCCCCCTTTTATTTTGCCAAAATGCTGAGACAGAGAAATATGGCTGCTTCTTTGGAAGATCCCGAACAGAGTTAGGAGTATAGGGAAAGGGAATCCATGGTCTTTTTTCAGATTTGTTTTCAGACTTCAGCCCCCAGCCATTATGATCAGTGGTAAAGGATGATGGGAACCATATTCCACATCTGAAAAGCCAAAGTTTTCTTGTTCCTAGTTTAAATCCTTGCATTTCATTAGACTTTTGTATGCCTTAACATATAGGATCAGGGTATAATAAACTGCCAGAGGAATTAATGATGTTGGTTTGATGAAAGTCAAAGTCCTTACAGAGATTGAGAGTGTTTGGAATATGTACAGTTTTTTTTTAAAACGTAAACCAAATTGTAACTTTCAGTCTTTTCCTCCTTGGAGCCCATGTGCTCACACACTAAGCCAGCATGTGCACCCATGGGGAATTATGGCAGGGAGGGTTTGTCAGCTGGAGAGGAAGGGACTAAAAGTTGTTGTTTGGCTAAGCAACAGGATTTCAACCAATATAGTGCTATGATTTGGGTATGAGAAATCCATAGTGAAGTCCATATAGTTTGGGCAACTCCAAAAGTCTCAGCTTAGAATGGATTTCATAGGATTGCTGCGAGGCAAAATTGTGCCTTTTTGATAGCTAAATCTTGTATCAGTGAACACACGGAATTTATTATATTGAAAAACTCATTATAGAAAAAGTATGAATCTACACTAAGATTTCTCACTGTTCACTTCTTTAGGAGAAGATTGAGTTTATTTCTGCTGCACTGACCTCATCTGTGCAAATTTAAAGATAAAGAATCTCTGACAAGATCATAAGATAAAGCTGCAGTTGGAAGCCATGCTATGGTGAGAGATGGCTCATTTGTCAACCCAGAAGTATGGTCACAGTGAAGAAGACATTGTCCCACATTGCACCTAGACTAACCATCAAGAGCATAAGTGTTTCAGGGATGATTGTTTAGAATAGGGCAGGTGTGAGAGAGTTTGGCCTTCCAGTTATTTTGCATTACAGTTCCCATACTCCCTTACCACTAATCATGCTGGATGGTGCTGAAGGGATTCATAGGCCAAAACATCTGGAATGCCAAAAGTCTTCTATCCCTGGTGATTCAAATTTGCTTCACATCTCCTCTATGAAATTGTTATGTTTTGCAGTTTCAGGCTGGTGGCTTAGTTAAATAATCCATACTCGTAATTTTAATGAATGTTATAAGCAATTAGGTTGTCCCTTGTAGCTTTTACAACATTCAGGATTCAATTAACTATTCCATAGTTCTTTAAAGATTTATGTAATGTTGGAAAAACTCTTGCACAGTTTTTTTCAGCCAGTAGCTTTAACATCATACTTACTAATACATCTTGTCTGGCCAACACCTTTCTTGGCTGTTAGTCATTATTGTTGCCTCTGTTGTTGATCCACTGATTTCCAAAGCAGGATTGGCATTACAGTAGTATATAAGCACAATATAATCATTTATTTTGACCAGCTAACTGCATGTGAAAACGATGACATCTGAGTTTAATTCAGATTCTGTTTCACTTCCAGTGTTTTCCTCCTCATTTGAATCCAGATTGACTTGCATTTGTCTTCATCCATACATTCACTGATAAAGCTGAAGGTTAAGAAAACACTACTATAAAGTGTTTGCTCATGGAAATAATTTACTTCCCATTTTTGATATCTGATTTCTGAGTCTGTTGGCCTCGAAGTATATACATTTCCCTCAAATTATATACACATTCCGGGTTTCATTCAGCATCCTTAAGCTGTCCTGATTTTCAGCAACTTTTTATGTATTAAGATTGTCCTTGAATCACTGATCCATTGATACAAACCCTATAAATATGAGAGAGCTTCTAGCTATCAGGTCCAGGTTTCTGGAGTTTTAACGTATCTATCTGAATGTGAAAGTTAGGGCCAGGAAGGCAAGTTCTTGTTTTTGCTTTCACTGTTGTAACAGAATATCTGTCCTTTTTGTCTTTAGGCAGTGAAACCTAAGAAAGGACTAAGAAGTAAGTTTCCATATTCTTATGACACTTTGGATACTGGTCAGGGAGTTGGAGCGGTCAGTCATACACTGTGGACACAGCAGCCCTGTCTAGGCTTGTCGTTCCAGGCCCCATGGTTGTATTATGGCAGTTGTAAATCTTTCTTGTAACAGTAACTCGTATGCCAGTTTTATACTGTGGGGTTTTTGAATCTGTTAACTTATTTTGTCTTGTTCTAGGCTCCATTGATGATGTCCTTGGTGATCTTCTTGGAGATGATGGTAAATAATCATTGGAGAAATTTTAAAAAAATCATGTAGGGAACAATTATCAGGTGATGTGTTAGAATGAGGCACTGCTCTTTGTGCCGCCTAGAGTGGTCGAAATGACTAGATAGGTGGGGTATAAATACAACAGATAAATAAATAAATAATTTCAGAAGTTAGATGGTTAGCTGCTAAAGAAAAGCTATTTTCTCAATTGGAGTCCCAATTGTCAGAGGAGAATTCTCTCCACTGACAAAATCATCTGATGCAATAGATCATATTCTGTTAAGTGCTGTCCAATAATGTTTCCAACACTGGCTGTATTCATGCATAATTTTTTTTACATATCGTTAATTATGATTTAGGGCAACCTTTTAGGGTTTTCTAGGTAGCACATACTCAGAAATGGATTACCAGTGGATGCAGTCAGGCAGGCATTTGTCCTATTGTTTGATCCAAGTTGAAAATTGCCTGGTTCGTTCCTTTTTCCGGCAACCATGTTGTGTGATCGCAAATAATCTCACCTCTGATTGAAACCTATCTTCACCTTTTGGGGTCACTGTCAGAAACTGCTAATTTTTTTTTTCTGCAGGTAGGATCACTCTGTTTTGGTTTGGTTCAGCATGTGTGATCACTGTGATCAAATCAAAGTGGCTGGCTGTCTCTGCTGAAGCTGCTTAACAATCTTGAGATGTGAAAAGCTTACTTTTCTGCAGAAAGGAAGGAATATAAGTTTTGCATTTCTTTTTAATTTTTACTAATGTATCAGCATACTTTAAAAGCATTGTGTCAATTACCAACAATTTAAAAGAAGTGGAAAGTTTTGTCTCCACAGGTGAGTAGAAAGGAAATTTCTCTTTTCTCAAGATTATTAAGCGGCTTCAGCAAAAGAAGAGCCAGCCAGTCCCTTGATCTTGAAAAATGGGAAGCTTCTTTTCTCTTTAAAGGGGAAAAAGACTGGTCTTGATTGTGCTAAATGGTCACTTGAGGTGCACTGTGGTCGATTCTTGCATGTGGATACAAGAATCACCCCAAATGACATACCACATCTCAGAGCAACCCATCTAGTTGCACCCATTGTTTTCTTCTGGTTGCTGTGAAACTTGCCCATGGCTATGCAGGCCGGATGTTCTGGGACTCACAGTGGACAATCAAGCAGCCAGAGGTTAGGAGTTTGATTTGAGCTCTAGCAGATCAGGTTTGCAGCCAAACAGCTGACTCACTGAGCTATCCAACCAACTTTCATACATAATGGAAAGCCATAAGTTAGCTATGTGTACAAAAATAAAAAGGCACCTGGGCAGAGCATTAGAGTTTCATTTTAGCAGATTCCAGGCTTGTCTTTATATATGAACTAGGAATTGTGATTTAATAGAAACACTAGTTTGTTTTTAAAAATCAGGGCAATAGCCCAGGGTTTGCTTTGGATTTGTTTAGCATCTGATATTTTGAACCACTCTGTCCGATTAGCTTTTAACAACACACCAGGAATGGGCTAAAGCAAAAATAAATTCAGGCTTAGAGGGAAAGGGAGTCTATGAAGCCAAGGGTTTTTTGCAGACTCTTTGCTGCCTGTGTGCATAAAAATAAACCATGGTTTAGTGCTATATGTGAACCTTTTTTCTATTTGCTTTTATTCTTGCTGTAACTGTTTCATTGATGTTTGGATGTTGTTGTTTTTTAATACATTGTTAAATTGTATTGTTTGACTTTATATTGTAGTTTGCATTAAATTCTCCTTTAGGGAATGTGGGGAATGTATTTTTCTTTTTTAAATGTATCCTTAATTTCACCCATTTTATGGCTGACAAGCAGTGAATGTGTGTTTAGTCGTTTAGTCGTGTCACTGACAAGCAGTGAATAGAATGTTGAAATAGAACAGAATAGAATGTTGATTTGTTTTCACCATACTGTCCTGCTTGTGTCCCTGATCTGTTAAGGCAGTGAATAGAATGTTGAAATAGAATAGAATAGAATGTTGATTTGTTTTCGCCATGCTGTCCTGCTTGTGTCCCTGATCTGTTAAGGCTCAAAGTTGTTGTGTTTCTGCATAATATTATGTGTACTTAGCCCCTTGTTTGTTTGTTGAAAGCAACATGGCAACATATACAAGAGTGCTGAGATTTTAAGGACTCAAATACAATTCTTAGACCAGATTTCACACAATTCAATAGCCCACATTTTGACCTGCTAGGTCTGTATCTTTTTTTCTCAGATGACATCTCTCCTAAAGCTAGAAAACCTGCTTCATTTGGCAACATTGGAGAGAGAGCCAGAGGACTCACTACACAGACCAGCAAAAAGTGAGTTTCAGTCATCAGTCCTTTCGGTGGCACTTTTCAGTGGCTGGACTTCCCTGAGCAATCCTCCATCATTATTTCTCCCCTGATTTTCCAAGGTTCTTGCTTATAGGGTAGGTCTCCATATGAACAGGACTTTCTCCACTTCAGATTCTTTGATGAACATATGTTCAAAGTGACAACAGAGGGGGATAGGGATAGGTGCTCCACTCTAAGCACATTGTCAGACTGGGATTCTCTAACATCTGAGTAGGACTGTTCCCTCTTTCAGTTTAGCCATCATGTCCCAGGGACCTTTCCTGAGTAGAATTGCTACTGAGATTTCTTCTAAATGAATGTGAATTTGGAGGTTTCTCATTAGCCACACCTTTTAGCAGTTCTACAATAGTTTCAATAAGACAGTGAAATGTTTTGCATGCATGCAGTGTGTATTTGTATATCTCTTTTTGTTTGTTATTTTCCAGGAACCTTTTGGAGGATGACTTCTTCAGCAAAATGCCTCTTGAGGAAGGCACAGAGGCACAGGTCAGAATAAATAAGAGTCTCAGCATTCTCTGTATGAAAAATGAAGGCACTAGTTCAGTTTAACAGAACAGAAATGCTTTACTGCTATGCCTAAAAGCTGACAGGGGAAGGAGGAGAAACATACAGTTGAGTTCCAAAATGTTTGTGGGATCTGTTGAGTATTGCTAGGTTATTGTGTTGCAGAACTTCTCTGAAAATTTTCTATTAAGGGCAAGTAGTTGTATATCAGAATTAATGATCAGAACACTATCCATATTTACTGGTTTTGTTTTATTTTGTTATGTGACATTAAATCTTGCCCAGTTTAATGGTAACCCTATGAAATATTGGCCTCCAGAAGGTGTTACAATTAACAATCCTGTTCCAGTCTTGAAGACTTTAGATTATGGCTTCCTTGATTGTGTCAATTCATCCGATGTTCACCTTGATTTTTAATATTAAAGTATTAACCTAAATTATTAACTCAAAACAGTGTACATATAGTATAAATAATAAGTAAAATCTTTTTAAAATTTGTTTATTTTTAAGGATTCTGATATCTCTGATGTAGACCCACAAGCCCTTCTAAAGACTTTGAAGGTAAACAGAGAACATTTTGTGCAGTGTAAAACCAAGTGGAGTTTGTTGTGCTCTCTTAATTATGAAGATGTGCCTTTGCCACAGTATTTGTCCTTTTCCATGCCAGGATATGGATGACATGGAAGCTGATCTTCTGGGCATAAAGAAATCAAGCTCTGGGCCTGTTCAGAAACCTGCAAAGAATGTGACAAAAGCTGTGCTTTCAACTGAGTCAGGAAGACCTCTTCAGAAAACAAACATAGCTGAGAAAGGCAAGCCTGTGTCTCAGGGCGTTGAGCCATGGGTAGAGAATCTGAGATGCTCCAGATTTTTAAGAACCTCCAGTTCTCCAAAAAGGGCTAGATTATATTTTTGGATTGCTATTGGGAATGATGCTATACTTCCAGAGCAAGGTTCCCACTAAGCTGGGTGCGTGCACAACTCTGCTTTGCTCCACACAGCTTTCCTCCTCCATGTAGTGATCACGCTAGGTTCTGGTCATGACAGAACCCAATGTGCAGTGGGAGGTGGAGTCGCACGCACTTGCAGGGGCAAATCTGTGTGAGAGAGGTGGAGGCCCACCCAGCGAGGCTGAAAATTAAAGGGTACATTGCTCCAGAGGCATGCCCGCTTGTGCATTCTCTAGAAAATTGCTTCTGCCAGCCTGCTTTTGAGCATTGCTTCCTTTGAGCCAATTATTTCTTTAACTAGAGGCACTCTATTACGCTGAATAGGTTCATTATTATCTAAGTGTTGTGATAGAATGAAGATTTCCAACATGTTTTTTAAAATAAAATTTCTCTATACAGGGGACCTGGTCAGTGGACTTAATAAGGATTCCAGCTCTACTCCCACTACCTCCAGACAGCTGAAACAGAAGTCCTTTGAAGGTAGTATCTGATTTTTAGCATGGTTTGAAAAACAAATAAATATGGAAAGAAGGGGGTCATGGTTTAGCCATGTTTATAGCCAAGCACTATTAGATTTAATGTTCTCTGCTCTAAACTAGTAGAGGCCGTGACAACTACCCATAAACATCAGAATCTCTAAGCCACAGCTGATAGGCATAGGACAATATCTTTCATGAGTCAAGGACATTCATTTGCTAGGGACAGAATGAGGGTTGTAGCTATAGTGCCAGATCTAGTTTGGCAACAGTGGTGCAACCAATGCAGTCACTGTGGTGGTAGTGTTGCCGCTGAGAGCCAAAGTGGTGTTGATCTGGAACTGTTCCCCACTCAGCCATGAAACTCACTTGGGTGAGTTTGGGCCTGTTTTCATCTCAGCCTGACATACCTGGCAGGTTTGTTGTGGGGATAAATTGAGGGGCAGAAAAGCCTGGTACAATATAAATAACATTACTGCTGAGGGGGATATCTCAACCTGCTGGTGGTAGCAGTAGACTTTGAAACTGGCTGAAGTGTGGGATATAAAGCTTTTTGCTTAGAGCTCCTAGTCTAGTTTTCTTTTTGTTTTGAAATGGTTCTCTATTCTCCTAATGACCATACATTTTCTCAATGTGTCTTTTTTTGCCTAGATGTGGATGATCCTTTGGCTGGTCTTTTGTCTGATGAGGAAGAAGGCACAGTGAAGAAAGCACATTCCAGTGCCACCAGAAATACCCCAGAAACAAATGCTGGGATCTTGAAAGAGAAAGGTATATGAAAATAATGAAATGATACCACTTTAGGCTTGTTTGGCTGCTTTGCCATGTATCGCAACATCCTCCACTATGGACCCCAATTGTAGGAAACAGATTTGTTCTCATAATTCTAGTTTAGATTATAGTAACCCCACTCGGGATTAAAATGAATGAGTGTCATTGCCTGAAGCCTTTGCTCAGTCACAAAGCAGTGTGTTTTCAATAACACAGTATCTCCCAAATTTGTCCTACTAGAGTTTGGTAATGAGGAAAAATGAGAGAATAGTTATAAAGCAAGATGTGCACCAAAAATTCTAGAGAAGTTAATACATTTAGTCATCCATAGGATTCAGCAAGCTGAGATTTTATCACTAGCATTAGGGTGTGTTAGAAGAGTCAATGAGGGAATTATTCTAGCAATAACACTCTGAATAATGCAGGATTAGAAGCACGGAAGTCTTTCCAGCTTTTTCAAGTATTTAGCTGTTTTGTTTGATGTCCTCAAAGTATAGCTGGCTGGAACTACACATTGCAGATAACTCACAGTAAGCTTTTTTATTGCAGGTTATCTGCAATCTGGAGTGAAAATGTTCCTTTCACACACATTTTAGTGTGGCGAAACCAGAGCTGCCAGGTACTCTATTGCTCATCCCTCCTCTGCAAGAGCAACGCTAGCCAATCAGTCCTGGTTGCCTGGCAACGTTGTTTTTGTTGTCCAGGCTATCAGCTTCAGTGGCTCCATTTTTGCCACACACAGAGCAGGCTGCCCTCCCTCCTCTGCAGGGCTTGTTTGTCCAGTGGATGACTGGATGGTGGCAGCCAGGGAGCACTTGTTGGCAGTGGTGGCAGCAGTGCCATTCATTTGCCTCTGCCCCCGTGCTCCCTGGCCACTGCTGTCCACTAGCCTGCCAGACAAACAAGCCCTGCAGAACAAGAAGGGCTCTCTTGCCCAGCTGAAGCCTTACAACACTTGAATATGGTGCTCAACACATATTATATTAAAGCACAGTAAGGTGTATGTCATGAGAAGAGATGATAGTTGGTTCGTATTGGCACCAGTTTGCTATGTTTTAGAATTGTTATTTATGTAGCTGGTAATTTATATTGGCCAGAACTGTATTATAACTTATGTACATTGACACCAAGACCAATGGTGTAAATTTCAGCAGTAGATTGCCACCAAGGAAGACATCAGAGCTTGTATTACTTTATCCTGTGCCATGTTATGTAGCTAGTGCATGACAAGATAGACAAACACTGACGTCTTAACTAGCATTAAATTGACCGCCAAGATTTATATCACTGGATTTACACTACTGGGCAAAAGTAGTAGGATTCTGCCAATTTTTTAATATTTGGTGCAAGCCACTGTGACAGTTGTGTGTTAAATGAACAGAAATGTTCAGATATGTGCATTAAACTATGCATTGTATGATTAACTTCCCAGAAGAATGTTGAGGGGGTTAGGACATCAGCTATTAATTTTGAGTCTAAATCAAATTCCTGCTTCTGCAATCAATCTCTTTATTATTATAGAGTTACTTTGTATGAGCCCCACCAGTCCTGGCTTGGGGAGCTAGAACTGGACAAAGACCTTCCATCCAGGGATCTTCTTTATTTCTTTCCACTCCCCTGGGGGTTCTGACTCTTCCTCTGGGGACTCCTCAGCCCATCAGGCCTCTTGGGTATTTGTCTGGCTCCCCTTGAACCCTTGAGCTTGGTTGTTGTTGTTTTTAGGAGGTTCAGGAACACTCTTGGCATCTTCCCCAGAATTCGTGTTCCTCAGGCAGCTCTGTTTGGCAACCTGCCACCTGTCTCTCTGGCTCCCTCTTGTGTTCTGTCTCTGGTGGCGAGAGGGTGGCTTTTATATCTGTCATCCCCCAGAGATGGACAGTAGGTGCTCTTTCCCCCAGGTTGCATGCCACTATCCCGAAGGTTGATATCATTACCAAGGCCTCTGTTTGGATCCTGGTTTCCCAAGTGGAGTGAGGATGCTCTGCTGTGCTTTTAAGACTCTGAGGCCCCTTTACGGCGCCCATCTGGATCAGGATCTGGGTCTCTAGCACCGTAGGTCCTGGGTTGACATACAACAGGAGCTTCCAAGGTCCTGTCATCCTCACATTTTGTCTGTATTCGGCTTATCTGGTAGATATGTTTAACTGGACATATGTTTAGTTACACTGTTAAATGAAAGATTTGTATTGGGCAGATTTTACATTTGGAAGCTTAGAAAATATATTTCACAATAGATCATTTAACACTGTGGAAGCAGTGGCTTTCTACAGTTAGCTGGAAGTAGAGCTAAAATAATGCAGCACTTTTACAATGCAATATAATGTGTCTCTGCCCTTTTCAATGGCTATAACCATTTATCATTTTTTTTTCATAAGCAAATTTTCCTCTTTAGTAAAACCCTTGTGTAAGCTTTAGTACTATCTTGGTACAGAAGGATGAAGGTTGGGTGCAGTAATAAAAACCATAGTTGATTATTGAAGCAATATTTCATCCGTAATCCCCCATTCCAGCAGAATAGGCAGTAATAAGGTATGCAGGACCTTAAAGCATAGATAGGTCATTTCAACTAATCTAGAGGCCACCTTTCTGGCTCCATAAAGCTCAGGTTCCATAAACTAGCAAAAGTGGAGAAATGAAACTGAAAGTGCACTTCTCATGTGGAAAGGATTGCAACCCGTTTAAAAGGTAAGTTCTTATTCCTGGAAGCTTTCAGGAGCAACACTTCCCCTTTTTTGGTGGGGAAAGGTTTGGCAGTCTGATGGCGCACACGTAGCCCCAAGACTGAACTTTGCCTGTCCATTTATGAAAGGTTAAGTAATCCAGAAAACCTCAGTTGTCTTGCAAGCCCGCACTGGACTGCCTGGTGCTGTAATTGCATTTTATTATGTTTGTTTGCAAGTTTAAGGCTCCACAAATTGAAATGTCTGAAAACACTTAGATTTCAGTTTGTTAATTATATTGCTGAAATATGAGAGGGTAAGGATGGTAATTCTAGAGAAAAGAGAGTAGAAGCAAGAAAACATTAACTCTTTTTGCATAAAAGTTATGAAGAAGACTCATTAATCACAGTTAATGTAAGCATTTTCTGAATGAATAGGTTGATGTTAACATCAGGGGTGGGGGAAGCTGTAAAATTGAAACGTATCATAACAAATCTTTTCAATTTGATTGCTCAGGAACATCTATGCCTACATCTGCATCAGCTGTGGCCCCTGACCAGAAAAAGGAGCTAACATTTGAGGATGATGGGGATGATCTCATGGATTGTCTGGGGTTTGGTGAAAACCCCAGAGCAGAACAGAAATCTGGCAGAAAGTGTGAAGAGTAAGACACCTCTGTTCAATAAAATGCAGTGAGCCGTGAAATTCTTTTAGTCAGAAGCGAAGTAATAACATTATTGGTTATGCAAAAGAGGAAATGGAATTTATGTTACACTTTGCATTATATGCACTCATTTAGTTTCCCTTATGTTAGAGCAGGAATGACCTGTAGGATAGTTGAAACTCCCTAGGCACTCAAGAACCAGAGCAGTAATGGGACTCAAGGAATGTATAATGGTCAAATGTCAGGCCTGCCATTTGTTGCAAATTACAAGATGTAATTTTGATTTCTGCAGTTGCTCTTGCTAATTATAGTAAAAAGTTATTCCAGGTTCTGTGCATTGGGCAGGAATGGGGATAACGGGATTTGTAGCCTGGAAGGCAAAAAATTAGACATCTAACTGGGGAAATGGACACGCAAATAATGGGTTTTCCTTAGGTGTTTGACTGGTCTGAACAGGAAATTAGATGGTCTACCAGATAGGCTTTTCATCTAATAACCGCACAGAACAGACTTCTGTCTAGATGGGCGGGGTATAAATTTAATAAATAAATAAATAATACACAGGATTATTTTTCTGATTTTTATAACAGAAAAAGCCTATGTGTCTTCATGATATTTCTGAGAATTCTGAAGGCTAGAATTGAAGCAAGCTATGGGTGCCAAAAAAAGCCAAAATGTTGTTCCTACTGTATATGTAATATGGGTTGGTTGATGAGACCAAATATGTATTTCTCTTTGACAGTGGAGAACCTCGCCCTGCCCGGTCTATGTTAGATGAATTGCTGGGACGAGGAACAGCAAAAAAACTTCTGGAGCGACCAAGCATAGGAGAACACAAGGAATTGAAACTGGATAAGAAAAATGAAAAGCAAGCAGGCAAGTGTGATAGGAATGAGTCTTCCATTATTATTCTTGTTTCTTCCATACATACTGTTTTCTGAGGAGTTCTTTTTGCTTGCCTCTGAAGAGATACAAATACCCTCAACTCGAATTTGGGACACGTGAAACTGCTTGAAAAGATATGGATGATATGTCCTGATATGCTTGTTTGGTGTTTCTTGCCTATACATCGGTGACTACACACAAAGTATTTAACTTTGCTTGTTTTGGAAAAATATTAAAGTGTTTTCCCCAAACCTGAAACTAACATCTTTTACAGGGTTATCACATTTTCTTGGTGCTCAGTAATTTGCCACCCGGAAAAAGGAATTCATCCCTTGATTAGCTCTTGCAATTACCATATGGAATGCAGTTGAAAGAACTTCCTAGTCATGTGTTATATAGTGCCTGTGAATAAAACAAAAGGTGACACACACCCAATGCATGCCCCCATTTGATAGTCTTTTATGCAGTGCTCAGTTAAAAACTTGAGTGCTTCCCTGCTGTCCTGCTGCACCACTCACTGCTAGCATAGCAGTTCGAAAGCATGTAAAAATGTGAGTAGATAAATAGGTACCACCTTGATGGGAAGGTGACAACGTCCCATGTTCTAGTCACGCTGACCACGGAAACTCTATGGACAAACGCTGGCTCTACGGCTTGGAAACGAGCATGAGCACCGCCCCCTAGAGTCAGACACGACTGGACTAAATGTCAAGGGGAACCTTTCCCTTTCCCTTTAAGTCATTTAGGCCCTTGTTTTCTACACTGACTGGCAGTAGAGCTCTGTAATTTTGAGCAGAAGTATTTAACAGTCCAACTTGGAGATGCCAGAGATTGAATGCTGGAACCTCGTGTGTCAGCTGTATGCTCCAGCTATTCAACTTCAGCACCATCATTTCAGTCCCTGGCATTCTATGTTTCTGTAAGAAATTCTTCTTTAAACAATGATGGCTTATAATCTGCACATATAGTGGTGCCCCGCTTGACAATGAACCTGCTTGACGATGAAATCACTTTACGATGCCTTTTTTGCGATCGCTATAAATGATGAATCCAAAGGGCATTTTTCTTTTAACGATGATTCGGTCCCTGCTTCGGGAACCGTTTTTTTCGCTTGACGACAATTAAAAACAGCTGATCAGCGGTTCGCAGACCGGCTCCCTGCTGTTTTCCAGACTGATTCTTCGCAAGACAGGGATCGAAAATGGCCACCCTATGGGGGATCTTTGCTGCATGAGCAGATATTTCCCCCATTGGAATGCATTGACCGGTTTTCAATGCATTCCAATGGTTTTTTTCCGCTTGACGATGATTTCGCTGTACAGCGATTTTGCTGGAACGCATTATCGTCATCAAGTGGGGCACCACTGTATATTCTGTCTACCCCTTAGATCTTTTTGTCTCTTTTGAATTCATTTTAGAGTTTCTTATCGGGCCTTTGGCTGCAGAATAAATTTGATTGTATATTTTAGAGTTTCTAAAGCAGGGGTAGCGTGCTTCACATTATGGTGGACTCCAGCTCCTGTAAGCTTTAGCCAGCACCGTCAGTGGTCATGGATGAGAGGACCAGAAGCCAGTCCCAGGTTCCTCTCTCTTGCTGGCCAGGAGTTAATTCTCCCTTGTGTATTTTGTCAGCTTAATTGTTGAGAATGTTGTTTCTATACAGAGAAGGAAGACAGTCTAGGGGATGAGTTCACTTTTGGAGGCTACCAACCCACCGTGGCCTCAACTCCAGAAGGACGGCAGTCAAGACGACAATCTGTCAGGTAACGATAACTGCATTAATCACAAAATGTAACCTTTTCTCCTGCAAGGCTTTTGGTAAAATTTAGCTCTCCTGATTATTTTTCTGTTTTAGGTTTTCCTCAGAGAACCTCAGTGAGCTCAAAACAGACCAGAGATCGAAGCCTTCCACTCCAGCTTCTTCCAGCCCAGTACGCAGCAAAGTTGGGGCTGATTGGCTGGGACTGAAAGATGAAGATTTTGACTTGCGACCTTCATCTCCGCCAAAGGACTCCAGGAAGAGCAGTACAAGAGGAGCCACAGTGGAAGTGCCACTTTTACCTTCAGAGAGCGAATACCCTACTCTTACCAGCCAGTTCCCTTCCAGACCCAGGCCAGCTCCTGAAGCAGCAGCACAGAAGCCTGAACCCAATGATGATGATGGTGACAGCTGGCTCAGTAATGTCTTAACGCAGAAGAAATCACAAATACAGGAGAAGGTGACGGAGAAGAGACCTGGGCCCTCAGATGGAGTGGAGGCAGATTCCATTACTCTTACCTTGTAAGACCAAACCTTTTTCTATTTCTGCACTTAATGGTTTTCAGAGTTGTTGAATGGCAAACCTTTATTCAGCCTGCTGGTGTTTGTCAGTTATATTTTGTGTATTATTTAATATGTAGAACATGTTTTGGTGCACAGATCCCAGTGCACAAGAAAAGCAGTTTTTAGTGTTGCATACATTGCTGGCCCTTGAAAGCTTGCAGGCAGATGCCAAGGGCCATATTCTCTCCCTGTCTTTGTACAATTGTGTCAATTAGATATTCTTACATCTGTGGTTTTAAAATCAGGTGTGTACTATCTTTTGATAATTAGCTGTAAATCAGGGGTCCACAACCCCCAGTCCACGGCCCAGTACCAGTCCATGGGCTTGCTGGAACTGGGCCATGGAAACAGATCTCTGGCCCCCTGCCCACATGGTGGGCATGTCGTGCTTACGCAGGGGGCATTGTGCTCCCGCGTGGTGAGCACAACACCCCCCACCGCAAGCTCAGGGGTGCCCATGCCCCCCATGCTCGGAGCCTGCCTCCCAACCAGTCCACAGTCCCAAAAAATTGGGGACCACTGATGTAAATGACAGCTTATATATAAATTTTAAAAGTATAAATCTTTGAAACAAATAAAATACATTCATTTTGTGTTTTTGTGTTTGTTTTCACAGTCAGCATGCCACATCTGCACAAAGACACAAGCAGTCACTTGTCCAAGTGGATAAACCTGCCATGTTAGAAGAACCTGAGTAAGAATTTGCTTATGGCTTTTCTATATGCATTTTGTCAATCATTGTGAGAAACAGGATGCTAGACCTGATGGGCCTGTGATCTAATCCACCAATGCTTTTTTGTGCTATAAGTTTCTGTCAAGTCCAGCCCTATCATTAATTATTATTATTTTAATAATCATAGCTGATTCTGTGGGTGCCAATTTCTAGCTAAATAAGTCTGCTTTTAAAGTTATTCATTCATTCATTCATTCATTCAACATCCATCTGGCAGCCAAGGCCACTCTGGGCAGTTCTTCTTGCTTGTATGTTCATCCTGCAATTAAGTTCTAAATGTTTTAATTTTTTAATGTATTTTAATTATTATTATAGTTTAATTGCTTTTGATGTGAATTTACTTGTATCATCTTCATGAGCCGCCTTGAGTCCCCTCATCAGGAGAAAGGCAGCCTAGAAATTATACAAAATAAATAAAAATAAATTTGTTAGAATGAGATGACAGCCTCAGCTAACAGACACTGCATTTTCGAAAACAAATGTTGTCTTATCAGGCAAGCACACACACAAAATGAAATAAAGAAGACAAAAATGTTGTAGCATCTTAAAGGAAGAGTTTGAGGACATGGATTTGTCTGTGAAAGCTCACATTCAAATATAGCAGTTAGTCTTTAAGGTGCCACAACATTTTTGTCTTTTTTATTTTTATTTTCTTTTGCCTGATATGCTAGCACAGACTGACACAACTGCCTCTTCTAAGACAAATGTCAGTTTTGTGTCTGACTTGTGTGGTGAAAAATAGATAGTAGGCATCCTTCAGTCTCAAGAGACTATGGTAACGTGCTGTGTATGGGGGTCTTGGAACAGCATCTAGTGTGGCTGAGAAGGCCAATTCGAGAGTGACAATCCCTTCCACATTGAAGACAAATACAGTCTGTCCCTTGTCCAGCTCCCTGGTTTTGCTGGTTTCAGGACTGCCTCTTTGCCTCGGCCTGCCAGACAAGGGTCTCTTCAAATTGGGAGATGCCAAGGTGCACTGCCTGCCTCCAGGCTGAATGCTCAGACATCAAGGTTTCCCATCTGCTGAGGTCCATTCCTAAGGCTTTCAGATCCTGCTTGCAGATATCCTTGTATTGCAGCTGTGGTTTCCCTCTGGGGCGATTTCCATGCATTAATTCTCCATACAGGAGATCTTTTGGAATCTTTTGGTGAAAAATAATGTTATCTCATTATAGGAAGTTTCATCCACTAGTAAGATGCATCTGCCAAGGTGATTGACTTCAGTGTATGAAAGTGGAAGGGCAGCTGAGAGCGGAACAGCAAGAGCAATAGAGGCTGCGGTGCCTGCAACTGGAAGGCTTTGCAGGCTAGATTCCCTTAACAGCCTGCAGACCTTTTCCACAGCCAATGATGGAGTTTTGCTCTTTCCTGGGGGAATCCATGTTTGTTGCCTAAATTATTTTCAGTATATGTTCCAAAGTAAATTGTAATCTTAATAAGATTGTCAGTTGGTGCATATTCCTGAATAATAGGCTGTTAACTGAATGCCCATCTAATTAGAAACATTGTGCTTTCTGTGCTTATGACAGATCTCCTGTGCCTGGGTTAAAATCTCAGGAAAAGACTACGCCTGCTTTTCCATCTGATTCCAGGAAAGGGACTCCCTATGGAGACACAAGTGAGGTTCAAAGTTGAAGTACTACAGGAATGAACACTTTCTAAGTATCACTGTCATTCATTATTACTTAACTATAAGAAAACACGGCTGAAATCTTGTTTAGTGTAGTATGTTGCAACTAGAGTAAACCCACTTGAATCCATAGAACTTGAGGAGTTGACTCAGCAAATCCCAGATGATTCAATGGGCTAACTTACTACACTGAGCAACAGGGTTTGAGTCAATCTATCATGCAAAGTTGTTTTCAAAAGAAACTGCTTAACAATCATTTTCCTTGTTACTATAACAAATGGTAGGAACATTTCAGGTCTAACAAATGCAGCAGAATGAAATGCACATGACAGCCTGGCCTTCAGAGATGGAGTGTGGGGTGTAAGAGTGCTAACTGCTCTTGCTGCCGTTCGTTTCCGAGGACAGCTGCCACACTTTGCTTAATAGTAGAGCTGCCCACATGCTCAGTGTTAATGTGTCTGCAGATCACTTTTTCCACACTTGTGAAACTGGTATAGAAGGAACATTTTTGAGGCTGCACTTCACCCTATATAGACTGGAGAGAACTGACTGAGGATTACTGGCCCTTTCTTCCTCCTCTTCTCCTGTTTGCTCCCTTCCTATTCTGATGCATTTGCAACAATGGCAGTAAAAAGAACCCCAAAAGCAAGATAAACTTGCCTAACCTCCTGTCTGTTTAGGTCTGACGGGCAGTTTAGGGCAAAGTACACTTGACAGCTATTCTGCTGCATTTTTGCCATGGAGGCATAACTATAAAACTGTAAAACTATTTTCTGAAATGAAAATGGGAGAGAGGTTATCGTTGTACATTGCTACACCTGATAGCAACATATTTTGGATTTCCAGCAGCAGCAGTTTTGCAAGGACAGCAAGACATCCCAAGGATTCCTAAACATCTCCAGGTAAGCATCAAGTGGGGATTTTATTTTTATATGCAGAAGAGAAGTGGGAAGGATAAATAAGTTTGTTTTATAAGTACATGTACAGTGGTACCTCGCTAGACGATGACCCCGCTAAACAACGAATCCGTATAACGATAAGGTTCTGCGATCGCTATAGCGATTCGCAAAACTGATTTCAATGGGCAATTTTCGCTGGATGTTGATTAGGTCTGTGCTTCATGGACTGTTTGTTCGCAAGACAACGATTTCTACAGCTGATCGTCGGCTTCGCAAAATGGCTACCCTGTGTTTTCCGGACCCATGCTTTGCAGGACAGCCATTTTTACAGATGATTGGCGCTCGCAAAATGCCTTCCCTATGGGCGATCTTTGCTGGACGACGAGGTAATTTCCCCATTGGAACGCATTAAACAGGCTTCAATGCATTCCAATGGGGAAACGCTTTTCGCATGACAATGATTTTGCTAAACAGCGATTTTCTCGGAACGAATTATCGTCAACATGCGGGGCACCACTGTATGTCTCTAGAAATTAATGTAAAAGTTTAAAACACGTTCCCTTACCCTTGTGTATGGATTCACAGGGAAGGCTGTTCAGTCTAATAACCAGTGTTTTGACTTAGAAGCAGGTGTGAACCTCCCAGACTTGGAACATTCTGTGTGTGTGTTCTCCCAGCATCTACAATAAATTACGGGTTTCACATAATATTGTTAAGCAATCTTGGATTTAACCTACCTGAGTTTTTAGCACTTGTACAATTCCCAGTTTTGAAGTATCAGCAAATATGTTGAGCTATATTCCTTAGATAAACTTCCTAGAAAAGAGTTTTCTTGTTGAATCTATGACAGTTATCTGTAGGTGGAGGGCTTGCCAAAAGAGAAAACCCTTTCTGTCTCTAATTATGTGTTTCTACAACAGGAGTATCTCTCCAACAACTTGCCCTGTTTCATTTATTTATTAGGTATACTGTATTGATGTACTCATACAACAGAATTGCAAAATTAAAATAGCATGTGTAAGTAAAATCAATTACAAATAAGGCCCTATTGAAATACAAGAAACCTTCCTGGAACGTTTTGCATGGTTAATTGGGGGCTGGGGTTGCCAATTAACTGATATGAGGAGCTCTATAGAAGCAGCAAGTGGCCTAAGTGAATGTCATATCCCAAAAGGTCTGTTGAACCTAACTTGCTCATACACCAAGCGGCTGCTGGAACTTCATTTGAATTTATGTACATCTCTAGATTAATTTGAATTTCTCTACCTGTATAAATGAAACAATAGAGCAGGGTTGGTTAGAGTGTCTGTCAAGTTTTAAAGTGGCTCTCCCCTTTACTGTCAACTACAATTCCAGTACACAGTATGGATAGGTTGAAGACTATTGCATATCTGTCACTTGATTTGGAAAACACCCCTGTTCTTTTTTGGATCATGCTTTCTTTTTGTTCTATTTTTAAAATGTTTTTATTCATTTTCCACTGGGTCTGGGAAGATCGTAGGAAGGGGATTTGAAACAAGGTAAGGGGTAAAGTACAGAATATGGTAGAGAACAATTTATATTGTTACTGCTTTTACCTATATGATTTCTTACTAAGCTTACTCCATACTAATCTTGCCATTTTTTCTAATCTTTGGATTATGCTTTCTATGCAAAAAAATGCTTTCCATGTATATCTCTCCCACTGCCTCCCCATTCATTTATTTGCCCAGCTTCTACCTTCTGAACCCCATCTGGTGAGTTCACCAAGTACTGCTGAATATGAAAAAAGACTGGCAGAAGTGCAAGTGCAGCTGCGAGAGAGCCTGGCTGGTTACCAGGCAGAACTGCTAATTGCCCAGACCCATATCACTGCGCTGGAAGGCCAGGTAAGGCAATTGCATTAATAGTTGAGATAGTTCTCTTTATCGCTAGAGGGTAAGACAAAAACAGCTTTACCTAATTTTCTTTTAATAAAAGGGCTATTCTGTATGTGAAATAGCAAATTCCTTTCTTAAAGAGAACCTTTATGCAGCCTGTACAGCACCATTCACACAGAAGAGGAAAGTATTAGTAATTTGCAGAAAGCCAAATTTTCAGAGGTATAAACGTTTTTCAGGGAGAAAAACTCAAGGAGATAGATACAAAAACAGGCTAATAAGATGTAAGTATGTTCAGTGAGCACAAAATTCTTACTGTTATGTTTAAGGAACTTGAGGGAGAAATGCAGTGGGGTAAAGTAACCTACAAGAAGGCTTGGCTGGCTAACCGGGACCCTGAAAAGGACTCCTCCACAGAACAATGAAAACCCCATTCTACTTTCATAAATGTGCTTGGATTGTGAAAATTCCTTGGTGAAAGGGTAGCCCTGCTAATCCGTTGTAGCAATAGCAACAAGCTAACACACAAACTTTATTTGTTTGTTTGTTTGTTTTGTTTTATTTTATTTAACTTATATGCCGCCCACACTACCCAAAGGTCTCTGGGCGGCTTACAGCATTTAAAATACAATAAAAAGGCAAAATAAAAGGGCAAAATAATTAAAATGCAATTAAAATGTATATTCTAAAAATCGCCATCAGACCCACAGCTGATATTATTTCAGTTAAAAGCCTTCTGGAACAAGGCTTCCATGGATTGCAGAAGTGGGCTGTGTTCTTTGTATGCTTGCGCCAAATAAAACTGGTTATTCTTTCAGTTGTGGTTTTGTAGCCTTGGACCAGCTGTGTATTGAAAGGCCTCAGTGTGTGGATATGGGTGAAGGCATGGAAGTCAGAATTTCTTAATCACATTTTTCAGAAATGTTTGTCAAATCCTTGGGTTTTCCATGTAGTCTCCTAAGCTTCCTGACCTAGACCCAGCACGGAGATTAGTCTTGTTATGAAAGAAGCACGGTACTTGTGCAGACTGCCTCCATGCAATTGTCCATGATGAGCATGTGCCTGTTTGGCTGGGGCAAGCTGATCTGATCTGAAAAACAGCAAAGCTAGTGCTTAGTGCACAAGGCCTTCTTCAGGCGAGGAATCCATGCATGAGTGCTACTTCAGAATAGGACTGATATCTTAGCTGGGCTGAGCAAAGTGTGATGCGGACCCTCAAGAACATTGTTGCAGCTTCCCAGGCTATCCCACAAACCACAACACAAAATAAATTCTAAAAACTTTGGAGAGGATCAACATTTTGAGTTTTCTGCTCTTGAGAGCTTCCAGAATCCTTCCCACAAAACCTTCAAAATCAAAATGGAGCTGGCCATCTGAACACTTAGTTTTGTTCATTGCTCCTCTTTAGACGGAGCTTCCAAAATACAGTATTCATCTTTCAGAGCCACTTCCAGCTTTTAAGCCATTTATCCTGTCATCTTGAATGGTTAGACCGTCCAAAATATTCATCTTCCAGAGCCACTTCCAGCTTTTAAGCCATTTATCCTGTCATCTTGAATGGTTTTATTAAATGTTTTTCTGCTGTATTTTAGTTTATCTTTAACAATTAGTATATGTTTATTGTTTATTTTTTATATTATTGTGATATTAACATTTTTATTATTTAATGATGTTATTGTTTTATCTTTTGTAAACTGCCCAGAGTGGTCCCTGTAGCCAGATGTGGGGTGAGTGGGCGGGCCATTGATGTAATTAATTAATTTTTGGGCTATGTCCAGCCATTTCCAGCTGTGTTGCAACCTATGAGGAGTGTTGGGGTTATAACATGGCCCCTTGGCCCATGTTGCCTTTCTGGGATATACACTGAGAGCTTTTCCATAAAATGTTGGAATGATATGTGGTTACAAGACTACTGCAAGAACCTAGCATGATCTGATTATTGTTCTGCACTGTCCACATTTTATGCTAAATTGTGGCTGACCTTTTGACATATTTTAAAGTAAAGCTTTTTTTAAAACACTTCACAAATACTAAGTTTTTAACTACATTCAGGTGAGGCGGCTGGAGCTGGAGAAGAATCAACAAAAAATGTTGCTGGACAGTCTGCAGCAACGTCATCAGGAGGATCTGGAAATCATTGAGAACGCTCACAGGTAATGATGATTCTCAAGGCACACACAATTGCAGTAGAGCATTACCATGAAGATCCATATCAGCAGCAGCAGCAATACTAAGTTTTTAACTACATTCAGGTGAGGCGGCTGGAGCTGGAGAAGAATCAACAAAAAATGTTGCTGGACAGTCTGCAGCAACGTCATCAGGAGGATCTGGAAATCATTGAGAACGCTCACAGGTAATGATGATTCTCAAGGCACACACAATTGCAGTAGAGCATTACCATGAAGATCCATATCAGCAGCAGCAGCGCAGCATAAAGATCCATGAAGATCCATATCAGCAGCAGCAGCATAAAACAGAAAACGAGGAGAAGTTTATTCATAAGCAGACTTAGCAAGGGAATTTATTCCTTCAGATACTAGCAGCTCTTTCTCTCGCCTGTGTCCTAGTCAATAGACCTGCATTAGAACGTGCTGTTATCAGTTCTACTTGCAGGAGAGTCCTTATTGTTATTTCAGGCCAAATAACCATAGGGACTTGCATGGGATTTTCTGGGGACAGGAACCGTGTGAAGGTGATTGAGGAGTCATACCGCCAGCGTGAGGAGCGTATACAGCAAGAGAATCGGGAGTTGACAGAGCAATACCTGTCTCGCTGCCAGAATGTGGAGCAGGCCAAATCAGAGATGCTGGCTCAACACCAGCGCCAACTCACAGAGCTGGAGCAGGAAAGGGTGAAGGAGATCGATCGGCTGCGGGAGCTTCAGCGGTAAGTAGGAGCCAAGGGAGAGATTGGGGGGGGGGAATTAAATGGACTTTCAATGGATGATTTTTATTTTTATTTTTATTTTTTTGGAAGATAAAGTCAGACATGCTAACCAGTTACCTTTCCTTGAATTTTTATTCTTCTACATAAGGCCAAGATTTCTGTGTGATCACAGAAATTTCAGTTTATGAGTAAGGATGTGTGAATCTTCTACATAAGGCCAAGCTGTGTGATCACAAAGTGTGCAATATGTACACAGAAATATCCAAGGACCCACTTATTTTATTTCAGTTTATGAGTAAGGATGTGTGAATTGTATGAGGTCTTTTCCTCTTTGGACCTGCAGGATGTCCATCCTAGAAATGCGCAAAGACCATGAGGAGCAGTTGCAACGGCTAAAACAGCTGAAGGCTCAGGAGATTGATGCTGTGACCAGTGCCACCTCTTACACCAGGTAACAGTTGATACCTGTGGAATCAAGTGGGGTGGGGTTTAGGTAGAGGTTGGAGACTTCCTTCACCTCCCTGACTAACATATGTATGAATTCCACATAATAGCAGACTTTTAAATAGAGATAGGGGTGTTCGTATTTGAATATGAATATCCCCCCGCAGGTGGAAATAACGAGTGTCTGGCCCCATGGGGCAGACTGTCCACTCACAATTCTGCCGCGGATACATACTCAACGGAGCCTTCCTATCACGCAGTTGTCCACACTGGATTAGCCACTCCTGGCAGGAGGCGGGATGACAAGCCTCTCTGCCAGGTCGCAGAATGGCTAATCTACTGAGGACAACAGCGCGATAAGAAGGCTCCGTCGAGCGCACATCCATGGCGGAATGATGAGTGGACAATCCAGCCCAATGGGGCCAGACCCTCATTATTTCCACCTGTGGGGGATAGTCGTATATGAATACCCCCATCTCTACTTTTAAGCTTTTAGCAGAAAAAGCCAAAGGGAGACAACACGGTGCACTCTTTGCATTTTGCAGGTCTTTGAATGGTATCATCAACCAGATGGAGAAGTTCTCCAGCAGCCTGAATGATCTCGCCAATAAAGTAGAGGCCACTCACCACACCACACATCAAGGACTTGAGATTGGGGCTCGACAGCGGAATGAACAATTACGGGGTACATGTTTCTTTGACACTTGGGACACAAAATACAACTTTCTCCAGAACTTGCTCATGCTTTAAGGTGCTTTAACTTAGTTTATTAGTAATATACATTTTTTTCTTCCATGCTGCCCTGTATCTGCCTCAATAGATCGGTAAAATACCAAAAAAAAAAAAAAAAAAAAGGTTGAACAGCCAAGTGGCTGATCCATATTTTTGCAGCCAGAACTGGACTGTATATAGTTTATCCACTGCCTGAAGGAGGAAAAATCCTAAGCCAGTGGCCACGCTTTCCTCTTGTACATATCTGTGGCAGCATGGTTGAGAGGGATATACAGTAGTTCTAGGATGGCGTTATGCAGACTCACTGTGCTTCCTCTAGCAGTTGTCTTAGAGACCTGATGGACAATGCACATTCCTGGCATAATTGTGACAGAGCAGAGTGTATGCCCACAGTGTTTAGATTTTCTAAAGAGATTCTGTTTATTGACTCAAAATCAAAGATCATGGGACAGTGTCAAGTGTTGTGGAAAACTGAAAGCAACAGATGTTCTTTGAGCTGAAAGGTATACTCCAGCCATGTCAAATGGGTCCTCAGGCAAGAGTGAATAAGAGGTAGTACTAGCTGGGCTAAGAATTCATCACAAGCTCTGTGTCTTCAGAAAGGGAAGCGGCTACCCAATGCGTGTATCGCCAGTGTTCCTCTCTCACTGCTCCAGCTGTAGTCCTACTTAGGGTACTAAAATTAATGGCTTAAGTTAACCCATATCTAAGGGTTCTCCCAAATAAGACGTTGTTCATGCAATCACATTGATTCATTCACAGACATCAATTTCAACCAGCAACTCTTCCTTGCTTTCCCACTGTTTCTTCTCTCTTTTTCTGTTACAGAAAAGAGAAGAAAAGATTAATTTGATTGGATGCCTCTAGTTGCAATCTCAGATGAATTAGATGCCTTTGGTTGTAATCTCAGGAAGCATCTTTCTATTTTGAAAGAGTTCTAACTTAAGTCCTGTTGGCCAAAATCCTATAGCTTTTTTCATAAGATTCATGTGGCTAATTGATTTGAGGTATCATTACGTGTCTTCATTGCATATCTGGTCTTGTGCTTAATTACGCAACTGAAATGAGCACCAGTTTCTTTTCAATTTGACACAATTAGCCGCAGCATGTTATGGAAACCTTATATGGACAACAGTTCAGTTCCAGTCATTGATTAAAATAAATCTACTATGTTTATGGCTAAAACTAGATATAACCCACAGTTGCTGTAATTTTCTGTAGCTTGTTAAACCAGTGGTCTAATTTTACTACCAGACTGGCACAGACAAACACACAAGCAAGACATGAGGGTTCACAGAGCAAACCAGGGTCTGAATCAAATTGGTAGTTCCAATGAGAGTTGACCCTTTGAATCAGTGGGAATTGCAAGAGTGTTGATTCACTGTTTAGCAGTTGATTTATTGTGTCTAGAATTAAGGCTAGCAGTCAAATTATGGCCCAGGTTTGCAGTTCACCTCCTCTGAGAATAATGATAAATTTCTTACGCTAGAATCCTCTTGTGAAAAACTCTGTACACAAGGACAGTCTGGCATCATTTTGCCCCCTGTGACAGACTGTCCTGCGGCCACTCAAATTTTTAGAGGGCACAAAACTGCCACCCTTTCATGCTCCATGTGATCCGTCTTGCTGCTGGACTGGCCCAGGCAGCTCTATCTATCTATCTATCTATCTATCTATCTATCTATCTATCTATCTATCTATCTATCTATCTATCTATCTATCTATCTATCTATCTATCTAATCTATCTAATCTATCTAATCTATCTATCTATCTATCTATCTATCTATCTATCTTATCTATCTATCTATCTATCTATCTATCTATCTATCTATCTATCTATCTATCTATCTATCTATCTGTCTATCTGTCTATCTGTCTATCTGTCTATCTGTCTATCTATCTAATCTATCTATCTAATCTATCTATCTATCTATCTATCTATCTATCTATCTATCTATCTATCTATCTATCTATCTATCTATCTATCTATCTATCTATTAGACTTAATACCCCGCCCCTCTAGACAACGTCTACTCGGGACGGCTTACATGAATAAAAGCACAACAATATAAACAATATAAAATCATCTAAAACATAGTTTTAACACTTATTTCTAAGCAGCATATTACCAAGATGGCATAACTCAAGCAAGAAAGATAGGGATCAGCTACTTGACTGGCTAATTGACTATGAGTCCATCCTCTCTCCCTCCCTCCCGCTGCAGTCCCTGTGCCTACCATGGCTATCTGGCGGGCAGGGGGAGCCGGCCACCTCCAGCCTAGCACAAGCCCAACACTGAGTGATGAATGGGAGTAGACCGCCCAGTCAAGGTAGCCTCCATCAGACCCCCCCCTTCCCGGGGCCAATGGAGGGGTTGTAGCAGCTGCTGCTGGGCGGCTGGAGCCATGTGGTCCAAGCTGGGAGCATTAGAGGCACTCCTATTGGGGAAGGAGGAGGGGGCACTGTGGAAAGTGGTGGCAGCAGAGAGTGCAATACGTGCCTTGCCCTGGGTGCTGGCAACCCACACTACGCCTGGGCATGGAAGAGGCAGCCTGGGGGTTGGGGGAGATTGTTTGCAAGGCTAACCTTGTTCTTCACAACAACATTCTCGCCTTTGACATCAGGAGAGATGCATAGGCAAACAGTAATTAGCAAGCCTAGCAGTCTTGATTCACATTTTGATTCATACCAAAGAAAAAGGTGCCATTAATTGCTACAAAGAATTGATCATTCTTTCCTCTGTTCATCTCTATCTATAAGTTCTGCAAGAACGTCTGGCCCAGCAGCAGAGAGACATGGAGGATGAACGAGCTCGGCTCCAAGAGGTCATCTCTAAAATGGAGGCCAGGCTAAATGAACAGACTCGCCTTCTAGAGCAGGTGCGGTCATGCTAGAACGGAAACCCCTTATGGCACATCTCTGTGCCAACAGGCATGTGGGAATTGGAATAAATATTATTATTTTTTGTTCATCAGACTTGTGTGTTTCTAGGAACGCTGGAGGATAACAACTGAGCAATCCAAAGCTGAGTCTTTGCAACACTCTCTAGAAGAACAGAGAAGGGTCATGACTCAGCAGCTGGCTATGGAGAGGGCAGAATTAGAGAGAGCAAAGGTTAGAAAGTGGTCGTGTTATCTGAATAAATGTTTGTTGTCAGCACATGGTAAAGTGAGAGCTGATTCAATTGAAAACATGTCACGCTCTGTGTAGATGTGGTGATTGGGGCTAGAGGGGAATATCTCTTGTATTTCCGTATACTTTTTTCTCCATAAATGTTGCTTTATAGCGAGGCTGGACAACACATGTTCCCTCTGGGCTATTCTTGCACTCTCACTCTGCCTCCATTACTGCTGATGAATGTGCTATAATGGCAGCAAGAAAAGCACTGCTTCCTTCAGATTTGATTCCTATAAATAACTTTGAAGGGTTATGCTCAGCTGACTCCTCCCAATGACAGCAAAGAGAGGGAGTGTGACTCTAACTTTCCTTGGCACTTCGTTGCACCTCCTCAAGATCCATTTCAGAGTTGGCAGATGAGAAGGAATGATCTCTCCGCTCATGTGATGTTGGGTGTGCCTTTTAAATAAACTTTCTTCCATAGCAGCAAAGACAGTTTGGAAACACACAAATATCATTCCCAAGAGGAAACGAAAACATATTTTGTTATTTTTTTCCAACAGAGGTGACTGTAATGGAAACTACAAGGCATGCAGTCATGCAGCACAAAATTACATCTATTTTTTCAAATTGCATTTTAGCTAAGCAGCTTGTGTAAGAGAAACCAGTCTAATTTACTTTCGTTTAGTGTTCTGAGTAATTACAACTGATACTTGTTTTTCATTTATTTTAATTTGCGTTGGGTTTTATTCAGTTTTGTTTGCAGTTTTTTAGGTTTTTCTGTTATGTTTTACTGGCAAAAATACAATTGCATTTTTACACTGGCATAACAAAATTGGTGTAAATCTTTTATTTATTTATTTATTTGATTTTTACCCCACCCCTCTAGACCATGTCTACTCGGGGCGGTTTACAAAATAAAACAGAACAGTATAAAAATATATAAAATCATAAAATTACAATTACAATTTCAATTTAAAACAATTAATTTAAAGAGAGGATTACCAAGATGGAATAGCAAAGAAAAGAAAAAAGGAGAAGGGAGTAAGTGACCTCAAGTTACAAGATTAAGTATCTGATGTTGTGCAGCAGATGTGTACATGAGCCTCTTAACTTGCAGCAATTCATTGCCAAGATTTATGCCAATTTCTTTAATGTCAGCAGGCATAACTAATAGCATTTTAGCCATTACATTCTTATGCTTTGTGATTTTAGGCTTTAGCCTGTAAGACAGTTTGTTAATGGGCAATATAGGAATACAGTGGTGCCTCACTAGACAATGATAATCCGTTCCACTGAAATCGCTGTTTAGTGAAATCATTGTCTAGCGAAAAGCATTTCCCCATTGGAATGCATTGAAACCTGTTTAATGCATTCCATTGGGGAAGAAATGTCGTTGTCTAGCGAAGATTGGCCATAGGAAAGCCGCTTTACGAACCTCTGATCAGCTGTTTACATCGCTGTCTTGCGAAACTTAGGTCCCGAAAACACCTGTTTGTGAGCGCGGAGGGAGCTGTCAAAATCGTTGTCTAGCGAAAATTGGTTTGCAAAGCAGGGACCAAACATCCAGCGAAATTCCCCCATAGGAATCACTGTTTTGCGAATCACTGTAATGATCGCAAAAAGCCAATGTCTAGCAAAAAAACTATCATGTGGGGTAACTGTCTAGCGAGGCACCACTGTATGCTAAATGAATAAATCTGGCCTTCTCATGTCCTTTGCTCTCAGAATTCTTTGCTAGAGGAGCAGAAATCGGTCATGCAGAAATGTGCTGCGGAGCGTCATAAACTGGCTGCAGAGTGGTCAGAGCTTCGCACGCAGGAGAGGCTAATGAAAGAGCGCACAGAGCGGGAGGTTGATCGGGCCCTGCAGATTGACTCTCAACGAGAAGGGGCCATCATGGGCCTCGCTAAGGTAAAGTGGGGTTAATCTGAAGAAACTTAATACTGGAACTTCATTTAAGTGCCAGAGATCAGCTTTGGAATTTTTGAAGGGAAAAAAAGGAATGATGGGAAAATCTTAAAAGGTAATAAAGCAGTAGTGTGTAGAGCCCTGCCCTTACAAATTAATTTTAAAATGTCATTGCATAGATGGGTTAAAGCAGGGACGGATTGCCTCTGGCAGCCTTTTCCCACTATCTGGGATCTGCTGAGAGCCTCACTGTGCACCACTTCCAGGTGACTAGAGGGTGCCTTCCAATTTATAAAGAATGAGTTTGGAGCCTGAAACAAGATGTGTGCTCCTTGCTGAGAGCAGATTTGTGCCCTCGAGGAGCTTCTGGAGGTACAAGTTTCCCTTTTTTAAAAAAAAAATTGTGATGGGAGTTTTTGGTTGTCACAAAAGTGCCACCCCAAAATTGGTAACCACAAATGCTAGTACTATGAGATTACTTCTGCTTTATTATTCCACTTCCATGCTTAGAGAGATCATGAAGAAAAATACAGTGGTGCCCCGCATAGCGAGGTTAATCCGTTCCGGATTAACCCTCGCTATGTGGAATCGTCGCTAAACGGGTAGGGAAAACATATTGAAGTTTAATGCGTTCCAATACCTTGCTTACTTACCCGTTCAGCGAGGATTCCCCTTGCCGGCAGCCATTTTCGCACCCTCGCTAAGCGAGGGCAGGGCGTGAAAACGGCTGGCGGGCGGCACTT